AGGTGGCTGAGGTTCTGTCACAGGGTCCCCAGAGAAGCTGTGGCTGCCCCATCCCTGGCAGTGTTCAAGGCCAGGTTGGACACAGGGGCTTGGAGCAACCTGCTCTAGTGGAAGGTGTCCCTGCCCATAGCAGGGGGTTGGAGCTGGATTATCTTAAAGTCCTTTCCAACCCAAACCAGTCTGGGATTCTGTGGTCATCTCGCGTACCACAAAGGGAGCCTGAAAACTTTTGTTTTGTTCTGCTTGCATTCTTTCCAAATAATGAGTGTTTGCCCCTGTGTGGCCAGGCAGTAATAGCAGTGCTTTCCTTTGTCCTAGTACGGCAGAGAAACAGAGCAGCTGAACAAACTGAGTAGAAACGATGGAAGACAAAACCTCTTTTCTTTCGACCCGGAAGTCCAGGTAAACATCTGGATGTTTGCAAATGTGAGGTTTTGTTCCCTGAGTCCTGCCTCCCCTGTTCCCATTGTGTTTTCCAGTGGGCTGGGGAACAGAAGTACAGGCCATGTGAGAGCTGAACAACACGTCAATGCTCAGGTGATACCTCAAATAAAGGGAAGAGGGACAGCAGCCCCACACATGGCCTCCTTCTAGCTTCTCTGGCTTCTGTATGATGCATCTTGATGCTGCTGGATTTCAAACCCATCGTCTGGGTGTCTGGGAGGTTCTCATGGTTGCAGAAGCAGTAGAAGTATTGGAAGGACACCTGCAATGCCACATGGGCTGAGCACGTCTGGAGTCTTACAGTGATGTTAAAGACCATGTTAGTGGTTTACAGGGAGAGCCTCAGTCTTCAGGGGGTTTTCAGATGTAGGGGACATACAACCAGGAAAACCACCCCATGCTGTTCTTATGCACCGGGGTAGGAGTTCATTGACTATTGTCTTGTTTTCCTTTCAGCTTTGACATCTTTGCTAAGCTTTCTGCCAAGGTCCAGGCATTGGATTTCAGTGGAATGGGCTGCAATTGTTCATACAGTTGGAGAGAATTGTTCCAAGTTATTTGATGGTTTCTGGTTCTCCTTCTGGCATGCTTTGGCTTGTTCACACCTGTGAATAAGAACTTTCTGGTTTAACAAAGAAATGTAATGAGTCTTTACAAGGTTTAGTTGTGCAAAATGAGCTTTTCTCTTGGCCCTTCTTTAAAGTCTTTAACAGGAAGAAGATAAGCATCTGTGAGGCCATGGAAATATTATTCAGTGTGGAGCTTCTAAGATCTCTTTTTTTCACCTAACCAGGTGGTTAGGCTGAATTCATTGCCCTCCCTCTATACCCAGAGCTCTTCATTCTGGTGTGGGTCAGTGAGATCTGCTGGAACACTTGGCATCCAAAATCGTTGCCCTGGTCAACGCTGGTGTGTACATGCATCCTTGTATGCCTGGTACTAAGGAAACTGGGAGCAGGAGCATAGACCTGCAACATACTTTCCTCATTGAAAAGAAATAGGGGAAGCAACAGGAAGAGTTTCCCACAGTCGGATGAACAGTTGCAGCCTATTTTGCTGGAATGACTTGACTGAGATATCAGCTCCCTAGGTTTGGCATGCAGGTTTATGCAGGATTGGGCTGTGCCAGATTGTCCCTGAGAAATGTGCTGGTATTTAAGGGTGTTTGGTAGCTGTGTGTCCCAAGTGCCCAGTATGATGAGTATAGTGAAGGTGTTGTCTAGCTGGTGGTATTTTGGACACGTGTATCTGCTCTCCAAGAAGGCACAGACCAGGCATGGGTGTTCTGGGTTAGGAAGGAGCTGATTATAATCAAGACTGGGTTTCCTAGCTGGCTCTGCAGGCAGTCTTTGTTATTTCTAACCATGCCAGTTATTGCTGTGCATCTAGAAATGTCTCCACTGCGAGGAGGTGTTCGCCATCCCAATGGCATGTGCCTTCTCTGTATTTCAGGCACAGAGACCACCTCTTAAACTAGTCAGATCTTCAAAGTGGAAGATACTGTTCTGAGGGTAATGCCGGCTTATGTTCCACTTTCTTCCCCAAGCTCTAAATGGTGTTTGGGAAGATTTCCAGGGTTACAATAAAGGAGGAAGGAACTGAAATCATACTCAGGTTTAGTTTTCTGTGCTCTACAAACCAGATTGCTAAACATTGATACATCCTCATGAATTCATGTCTTGAATACATTTGTGTAACATCCCCAAATGACGCTTCTTTGTGAATGTCTTGTACCTTCTGTGCCACTTAAATAAAGATTAGGATGGTATTGGCCGTAACATGACCCCTTAACATTATTCAGGCATTTGTTTTCTTGTTTAATGAGACCAGATTTGCTTGTTTGCTCTCTAGAGACTGGACTTCTCGGGGATGGAGCCAGATGTGAAGCCATTTGAGGAGAAGAGCAGCAGGCGCTTCGTGGTGAGCTGCCAGGACTTCTCCCTCAACCTCCTTGCTCAGCTCAGCGACAGGGCTGAAGGAGGACCCACCAACGTAAGGGTTGCTCTGGCGTGTCCTGCTTTGTCTTCTTTCTCCTCCCTGCCGAGGAAAACCCTCAACAGGTTAACCTAGGTGGATAAAAACATCCCACTGGGGTGGTTCCGATGGGACCTGGGCAAGCAGCGACTGCTGGCCCTGGGTCATTGAAGGATTTATCTGCCTTGGTAGTCTGGTATTCCAAAAATGTGTTTGGGGACGGGGTCTGTCCTGATGTGCCTTAGCCTGTCAGGAAAATGGACTGCTGGGAAACAGAGGTGTAGGCAATGGGGAGCGTGTGTCTGCCATGTTCTGGGTCCCTTTGAAAGTCCTGTTGGTAAATGATTAAGCTCCATCTCCAAACCACTCACTTCTGTGTTTTATTTCATTTCCCCTAATGGCAAGGGATTTCCTTGTTCTGAAACCTTCTGACTCCCAGACTATCTGTATTCATAGCCCAGCACTCCCAGACAACTTTATCCGCTTCATTATATGTATTTGTTACCATGCCAAAGTTGTGCCTTAGCCTGAAAAGCTTTTCCTTGTATTTTCTGAGCCTCCGATGTTTGTAGACATCACATCTGTCCTCAGCCTCGAACAGACCAGGCTGAACAGACCAGGCTCCTCCAGGCTTTCTTCCCAAAATATAATCCCTATTATCATATCCTGCATTTGGAGTCAGGGCGCTCCTCACCCTTTATATTGTGGCTGACACATGATTTATATGAGGGTGCTGGGCCAGCAGATAGCATCGCAGGGGAGGCAGCAGCCCTGGCATGGCTGATGGTACCTTGTCTGCTGCCTGCTGAAACTGCAAAGGCTTTTCTGTGATGGTTCGTTCTGGCAGCTCACAGCTTGTGCACCAGCTCATCCTCCTGGGTAACCCCCAGCAGATGAATGTGTCACTGAGAGCAGAGGTTCGTCTTATTCCCTCCCTAATCAGGCCCAGAGTCTGACCTAATCGGCACATTTTTAGTACTAATGTAATGCCTCCAAGTCATGCTGTAATGTCTCAGGCATGCTACAGTCTTATCTTCAGGCCTTCGTTTGTATCTTTTCATGCACACAGCTAGGATTTGTGAAAAATACATGGAATTATTGCCACATGCCTTGTGTTGTTAAGGTCAGTAGCTACAAACAAGTTGGCAGACTTAGCACATGCAGTTCCTCAGCAGTGTCAGCCTGTACCATGGGGATTTTTTGACATGATTCAATCACATTTCCAGGTCGAGCCCTTTTTCCTAAGCCTGGCATTATTTGACCTGAAAAATAATTGCAAGATTTCAGCTGACTTCCACGTGGACTTGAACCCCCCGTCTGTCCGGGACATGCTGATGGATAACGCTGCATCCAGCTTGGAGAGCACCAAGGGACGTTCTCCAGGCGAGAGCCTTGTGCACGGCGTCCCTGAGGCTTCCCTGCGCTACATCAAACGGGTGAAGAACTGACTTTCTCCTTGTTCTGTGTCCTTTTGAGGCTGTGGCTGTTCAGCAGCATTGCAGTGTGGTGTTGTCCACTGTGTGGAGAAGCAGAAATCATCTTATCTCTTGAACTGGGGGGTTTTGGTCAGTGTCTCAAGCCAATTGCTACTTCGGGCTCCCAGGTAGAGCTTTTCAGGACTTGACCATGCTCAAGCCTTGTGAGCCCCCACAGCCCATCTGGAGCAGCAACCAAAGCAGGGGCTGTGTGTGTTGCGGGAAGGGGCAATCAGGTCGAGTGTCCTGCTGTCTGACAGCCTGCTGTCTGTCTCTTGCAGGGAGTTTTCTCTGTGACCGACCCACATGTGGAGATCTTCCTGGTGGCCCGTGTGGAGAAGGTGCTGCAGGGCAGCATTACACACTGTGCAGAGCCATACATGAAGAACTCGGATCCGGGGAAGGTACTGAATGGAGCCATGAGACTACCTGCTTAGCTATGCTTGCTGCTGCTGCAGGGAATAGTGTGGTCTGAAACGTGGGTTGTTCTTTCTGACCAATACTGGTCTTCATCCATTCAGCTACTTGTGCTGTTGCCAGGTTGGCTTCGGCTGGGCTGTGCTAGGACATTTGGTTCTTTCCCCTGGCAAGAGGCAGAGGATTTTTAGAAAGAGCCTGGGGCACGGGGGCCTGTTACGCTTCAACAAGGCAAAGTCTGGGCTGGCAGCAAAAAAGTGGGACACTTCACCCCCAGAGAAATGGGCTGCAGTGCTACATGGTGCTACACACAGTGTCTTGGCCCCCAGCACAAGAGGGACATGGAGCTGCTGGAGCGAGTCCAGAGGAGGCCACGGAGCTGCTGCGAGGGCTGGAGCAGCTCTGCTCTGGAGCCAGGCTGAGAGAGCTGGGCTGGGGCAGCTGGAGAAGAGAAGGCTCCTCAAGGGGACACCTTAGAGCAGCTCCAGGGCCTAAAGGGGCTCCAGGAAACCTGGAGAGGGGCTTTGGACAAGGGCCTGTAGGGACAGGACAAGGGGAATGGCTTTAACCTGCCAGAGGGCAGATTGAGATGAGACTTTAGGAAGAGGCCTCAAAGCTCCTCCAGCTCCAACCCCTGCCACGGGCAGGGACACCTTCCACTAGAGCAGGTTGCTCCAAGCCCCTGTGTCCAACCTGGCCTTGAACACTGCCAGGGATGGGGCAGCCACAGCTTCTCTGGGCACCCTGTGCCAACACCTCAGCACCCTCACAGGGAAGAACTTCTTCCTGAGATCTCATCTCAGTCTAATATCTAATCTCAATCCAGTGTTTGTTTCTGCACTGTAAAAGTGATAGCTGTGCCTGGTGTGCAGTGACAGGGATGTCTATCAGCTGCCTTGAAGGTGTTGTGCTGTGCCTGGGGAGCTGTGCCTTGCAGCGTACGGAGAGTTGCTTCTCCCCAGGGAGTGCCGCACTCCAGATTCCTTCCCCAGGGCTCCATGGATGCCGTGGCTCACACTCTTCCCTTGTGTTTTGCAGACTGCCCAGAAGGTCCATAAGGTGGCCAAGCAGGCGTGCAGCCGTCTGGGGCAGTACAGGATGCCCTTTGGCTGGGCGGCCAGGTCAGTCACCGCGGGCTGCACCCTGGCTGTGGGCAGAGCTGCTGCTGCAGGTTATCCAGGGCATGACCCGGGGCATGATCCGGGACCTGACCTGGGACACAGTTGGAGTGGGTGGGCAAAGCACTAAGCACTTGAAGTCGGTGAAGCTGCAGCTGCAGGCAGAATCTGGTTCCAATTCCCAAGGCAGAGTGGGGGATGGCCTGGAATGCTCTATTTAGAATTAGGAGTGAAATATGAAAGAGTAAACAGTGCTGGGAAAACAGTAACCTTCTTGCTGACCTGTAGCTGCTGCTCTCAGGGGCAGAATATTCCTAGGGATGAATAAACGATCCTGTGCTGCTGCGGGAGTCGGCGCAGAGATTCCCTCCTGGCACCAGGCAGTGCCAGGGCAGGGATGAGAGTGCAGGACCTCCTGGCCTGGCAGTGGCTGTCAGCTGGGGCTTGGCTCCTGTCTGGGGCTCTTCTTTAATTAATGTTCTTGGAGCTGACCACAGATAGTGATCCCATTCCCACACTGTTTTACTAGGACTGATAAAGTGCATCAACACTAATTCCCTTAAATCACATGTCAGAGGAAGGCCTGAAGGCTACTTCATTCCCCTGCCCCTGCCTCCTATTGCGAAGTTGCTCTGCAGCACTGACAAAGAATGGTACTGGCAACACCAGATGACTGTCACAGTGGGCTGGGATTTGGGAGGGTACAGGGATTTTCCCGTGATGTTGGCTGCTCAGCTTCAATCTGCTGTTTCTGGGATGCAGCTTATTCTTGGTAGCCAGCACACAGCCTCTCAAGGGGTGCCTCAGCCTAATGGCGAGCTCTGTGTGGGCATCAACTTTGGCAGGCTTCAGATTTGTTCCTGCTGGCTAGGATGTTCCTGCATTTGGAGACCAAGGAGTTGAGTGGCCTGATGTGGGGAGCTGTGTTGCTCTGCATCCCTAGAGCAGTTTTCCTGTGGGTTTCAAAGGAAGGTGTTTGCACAGATAGGGAATATGGATGCTTTAATGTTCTTACTGTACACAGACATCCACAGCCTTTATATTCAATGGCAAAGATACCAGTATTCATGCAGGGCAGAATCCAGACTCCTGCTCTGTGTTCAGGAGGAAGCTGATGTATATCCTGAGACTGGGCTTCACTGCACATTCCTTTCCTAGGAGAATCTCCATGGTCTGACCCAGTGTGCAGCTAGGAAGATACTTCACCACTTGGTGTTAGTGGGAGGGGATTGGAGGGTGTTTGGGATTGAGGACCAGGCTTGGAACTGGGCTCTGTGTGTCCTTCTCACAGTGGAGAAAATGGACACGGTGATGTGATGTCCCATGCAGTTATGTGACATGGTGGATTGGGGGGTGTGTGGGGTGGGGGAGTGCTCAGGAGGTCTGGTGGTGGTCAGAGCAGCCACAGGGCAGTGAACCTGCCTTTCAGCCTGACGTGTCAAAGACCTCAGGGTCTGCTTATTTACCAGCATTTAAGAAACGTGTCTCCTCTTTTCTGCAGACCAGTTTTCAAAGACTCCCAGGGCACTCTGGATGCTGAAGGGAAATTCTCACCTCTGTACAAGCAAGACAGTGGCAAGCTCTCAAATGAAGATATGCTGAAGCTTTTAGCAGAGTATAAGAAGTAAGTGTAAGAGACTGGGGCAGGGGCTGAGCAGGCAATAGACATTTTTGACCAGTTAAATGTAAGCATGAGATTACAATTTCTACAATACTCAGAGGGTAACAGAAAGCTGATGTGTTCAGCACCTGAACTTTCAAGGTTCACACTCTTGTTCCTTTCTCTTTAACACAGGCCAGAGAAAACAAAACTACAGGTCATTCCAGCCCAGTTGAATATTGTCGTCAAGGACATCCCGCTAGACTTCACAAGTAAGGATCTTGGATCTTCAAATGAATCCTGGTGGCTCTAGCCTCAGAAGTTAATCCTTCTATGGGGAGTTTTGCTGTTTCATTGACAAGAGCACAACCTTATAACTCCTTCCAATGGATTCTGTGGAGGGATGTGGTCCAAGTGCAGAGGTTTACCTGAGGGTGCATCTGCTTTGCTGTTTGGCCATCACATCCTGATTCTACAGGAAGCCACTTGCCTGCTTATGCTGTTATTATTACACCAATCTCATATAACAGTTTGGATCTGTTAACACCAGAGGGCTTCGCATACATGGTCAGTATGATTCTTTACTTTGCATTTAAAGAAACCAAGGCAAAGAATGGACTCGTGATGTGCTTGGGGTCACTCCGGGGGCCTTTGGCAGCTCCTGTCACATGTGCTGTAGTCAAAGGGCTTTTCTAGTGGACTTAACTGTTTTCTGTTCCTTGAAAGGCCATCACTTGAGATGAACTCACCCTCATGGTGGATGTGAGTCTCAGTGAATTAAGCAGGGCTTGTGCACTGGTGTTTGGAGATGACACAACCATCAAACATCTTTCTGAAGCAGAGAGTGGGCAAAGGCATGTTGAGAGATCATCGTCTCGGTAGCCTGTCTGCTTCAGTCAGGTGATGTTTGCAGGATTTATAAAGCAGTAATTTAATGGGACACATTCCTGGCAGAGTCGAGGTGCAGGTCCTGGGCAGAGTGGCTGTCCCTACCCAGTCATGGGTCTTTCACAAGACCCTTTGACTTTGCCCAGAGCTACAGTAAAATGCCACTTCCACAGTCCCCCTGGCCAGGAGAGCAGAGCCCTGCACTGCCCCTGCACCCCTCTGTTCTCACTCTTGCTCCTGCAGTTGGGGACCACGGATGTTGTATGATCAAGGGGAGAATTTTGCCTTAATCGTTGCAGCAGGAGTGGTCCAAGTCCTGCTGCCTGGTCAGCACACACAATCCTCTGATGAGAAGTGAACTAGAGCAATGGCAGAGACCCACAAATTTCCTTTCACGTGGGTTGTACTTCTCATATTGCTGAGTGTGCACTTATCCAAGATTTCCTTCTCTTCTAGATTGTGTCACAGCTTCTTACATTCCTATAAAGCCTTTTGAGAAGAGCTGTGAGGACATTGCAGTCGAAGTGGAGGAGTTTGTCCCAGAAGTTACTAAATACTGTTATCCCTTCACCATCTACAAAAACCACCTCTACGTCTACCCCTTGCATTTGAAGTATGAGAACCAGAAGGTGTTTGCAAAGGTGGGTGACCTGGAGAGCAGGCTCGGTGTGGAATGGGGTGATGCTGCTGACCTGCAGCAGTGGCTCATCCTCCTCTTCTCCCCCATTTCAGGCGAGGAATATTGCTGTTTGTGTTGAGTTCAGGGATTCAGATGAAGCTGATGCCAGACCGTTAAAGGTGGGTACCTGTTAATGGGGCTGCCACTTGCTACCATGTCCTGTGTGCCAGCCGGGCTGAGCAGGACAACAGGAAAAGCTGTTTTCATTTGGCCAGCTAATTTAGGGTGGCAGCAAGCCTGAATTCAGCTCTTCATTTGTGTTTCCAGTGTATATATGGCAAACCCGGAGGGCATCTCCTGACCACAAGTGCATACGCTGCCGTGTTGCATCACAACCAGAGTCCAGAGTTCTATGATGAGGTAAAAATGCAATGGTGGGAAATAACAGATTTTCCTGGATGCTACAAAGCCAAAGGGCTTTTCAGGAGACCTCTTTTTCCAGGGCTTGGTGAAATATGGGTAAAAATAATCACCAGCCCTTTGCCTCAGTAGAAGAGCTCAGCAAAGCCAGAGACTTTGTCAATTTTTAATGCCAGTTTGTTTTCTGCTGTCTTTACTGTCACGCTTTGTGCACTCCAGTCACACACCCCCATTAATAAATAATGTGCTAGTGTGATGAAAGTGTTAGCCAGGAGTTATTTAAGACTGGTAGAATTGTGTCTTGTGTAACTGCATATAACATAGATTTTGTGAAGTAGGTCTTAAAGTATTACTCCATGACTAAAAATACAGTCTTACCTATCATGATATCATTTTAGATTAAAATTGAGCTTCCAATTCACCTCCATCAAAAGCATCATTTGCTTTTCACCTTCTATCATGTCAGCTGTGAAATTAATACAAAGGCAACATCGAAAAAGCAGGACACCGTTGAAACTCAAGGTACGTTCAATGCTTCAGTTAATTCTATTGGATTGTAAGAGTCCAAGATAAAATGAACAAAGGGGCATGAAAAAATACTTTATTAAAATACTGAACTGTCTGAATTTTGGCTTTTTGAAAGCATCCTAGTACAAATCTTAGGTCTAAACTGGAATGAAGCACTATGTGTTTAGTGTATACTGAAGCTCAAGTTCTTGCTGCAGTATGACAGCTCTTCCTGCATGTTCTTGACTTGTTTTGTATGAATGGGCTCTTGTCAGTGAAGTCACCACCGAAACCTTGATGGGAGATCAGAGCCTCAGGGGCCAATCCTGCCAATGCTGGGCATGTGTAAGAGATTGAGCACCCCCAGGTCCTGCAGGCTGGGTTGCCTTTCCATGCAGCCAGTCTTTGGGCAGCTGAAGGACCCATGGTGCACAACCATGGCTCACGCTGTTTCTGCCCTTCAGCCCACTCCTGGTCTTGGTTGTGCTGTGTATGAACCCGTTCACCAAGCCACCAGGTGAACGTGCTTTACCAAGGCTGATGTGGTCAATCCCAGCCTTGCTGAAGCCGCTTCCACAACTGCGAGTCTGATCTCCTCAGGCTGCGACGCGGCTCCTTTTGGAGATGGATTCACTGGGTGTCACCTAACTGGGGTCCACTGGTTGCCTCCGCAGTGGGATACGCCTGGGTGCCGTTGCTGAAGGATGGGCGCATTGTCACCCTGGAGCGGCACTTGCCAGTTTCATCCAACCTCCCCCCTGGCTACCTGGGCCTTGGAGACACGGAGGCACGAAGGGTAGGAAGACCATTTAAAATGGACTTAAATATAAAGGGAAGAGGAAGGCTGAGCTTCTGTTACCACTGTAAGTTCTGGGCCTCTGTTGGTGCTCTACTCAGCTGTGAAGATCCCTGCTGCAGGGCAGCCCCCAGAGTTCAAGGTTCTTCAGGATGGGAGGCAGGACTTTCTGTGGTTCTGTAGGTTGCAGAGAATATTTCTGTGGGAGGCTGGGCTGTTGCAGATGGGACAGAGCAGGAGAGGGAGCACATGCTCTGTGTGCATGTTCTCTGCCATGCTGAGGCTGCAGTCAGGTCGCTGGTGTTGGTGCTGGAGGGGAACACATCCACCCTAGCCCATACCTTCTGACCAGTGTCTGTCTGCACAGAGCCACCTTCTCACTGCAGTCTGAAACCAAGTGCTTGAATGTTGTCTGTTCACAGCAGCCCAGCGTGGATGCGAAGTGGGTGGATGGAGCAAAGCCACTGTTTAAGATCAGAATCCATTTGGACTCCACCATTTACACCCAGGTAAACAAGCACCTCGCTCTTCAATTCTTTCAACACAAAGGCAGAGGAAGTGATTGCTGTATCTCTACTAGTGCTGTGGGGAAGAAGTACTTGTGTTTGCAAAGCAGCACCCAGATCCTTCTGCAGCTGCAGGTCTGGGATTGCTTGCAGGGATCTGCTTGTCTGGGTGTGATGAGCAGTTGTGTGAGTGCAGGAGCTGGGGAGAGGCTGATGTTTTCTTGGCCAACTACACTGTGACTGGCAGGATCAAGGAAACGCTTGAGCAAATTAGCTGCTTCGATGCAAGAGTAGGACTGGTGGCAATGGGAGGTTTCCCCAGATATTAGGCTGTTTGTTCAGGGTTTTTTTTAAAGGTTTCCATGAACAGCAGACACAAGACAACAAGAGTTCTGATTTCCCTTTGAAACCAGTTCAGGCTGTTTTACCAGGTCCTTGTGTGCTCTGCTGTCTTACAGCAGTGATGGACTTCCCCAAGCTTCGAGTGATGTGCAGCAAAGTGCTCTGGGGCACCTCCTGTCAGCACTGCTCGTAGGGAAATGCCCTGGGCAGGGCTGCTTGTCCCGTGCTGGATGTAATCAGCCACATTTACATTCACAGTCACTTGCTTTCAGCATCATCCAAATCTGGTTTAGGGTCTTACTGATTCTGTACAGCACTGAGAGCAGAGAGCAGCTCCATTCCTGAGCAGATTACATCCCGAGATGCTTTTCAGGGTTAAATAACCCAGCAAATAAATTTACCCAAAGAGAAATGGGAAGGAGAGTGCCTCAGATGGGCAGTAGGTTGGTGAGGCAGATGAAGAGTCGCAGCTGGGAGAGGAAGGCTCCCGCTTATTCAGGCCAGTGTTGGATGGGGATTGGGGCTCAGGGAGTGCAGCCACAGGAGAATTTTAACACTGCTGAAAGTTTAGTGCTTAATCTCAAGATTATTGGGGAGCCAGGGGATGGGTACATTGGAAAAATCAGGGAGGTGGCACTGGGGACCAGTGGGGCCACTGGAAGGGACATGGGGCTCGCTGGGGACATCTCTGCTGCAGGGAGGTCAGCAGGTTTTTGAGTGCAAGTTGCAGAGTGGGGGTTGACAAACACTGAGGCTGCTGCACTGAACTTCTTTGTCTCCTCCAGGACATGCACTTGCACAAATTCTTCCAGTACTGCCAGCTGGTTCAGGCGGGAGCTAAGGAAGTGCCAGGAGAGCTTGTGAAATACCTGAAGGTGAGTAGTGCCTGTCAGTGGGCTTCAGGTGGGCTCTTGCAGACTGTCAGTAACTAACAGACCCCTGTCCTGTGGGAACACACCCTCTCTGCAGTGCTGGGGTCGGTGCATTGCACAGTACCCTTACCTCTGAATCATAGAATCATAGAATGGCTTGGGTTAGAAAGGACCTTAAGATCATCCAGTTCCAACCTCCCTGCCATGGTCAGAGACATATCACACTAGACCATGTAGCCCAGGGCTGTGTCCAAGCTGGCCTTGAACACTGCCAGGGATGAGGCAGCCACAGCTTCTCTGGGCACCCTGTGCCAGCGCCTCAGCACCCTCACAGGGCAGAACTTCCTTATAACTAACCTGAACTTCCCCTGTTTCAGTTTGAACCTGTCACCCCTTGTCCTATTGCTACAGTCTGTTTCACAGCAGATAACACAAGATCATCGCACTGCCATGCCCATGGCAAACCCTCCTCCTGGTGCCCCAGATCTGATTAAAACCTTTCAGCTGTAGCACAATTCCTTGCTTTCAGGATTATCCATTCAAAATGGGATATTTTTTGAGGCTGAAAAAGGTATGTGGGATTATCAGTCATTTCTGTTTGACCACAGATGACCTATGACCCAGCATTCTGGCAATCACTGCAGCATGAGTAAGGGCCTTGGAGCAGGTCCAGCAAAGGCTTCTGCAGGGAATACGTTTCTTGACTGTTTACTGTCCTTGTTTCCTTCCATAACTGCCTGTTTTTGAGAGTGCTGCTGTAGCAATAGCTCCGTTTCCAGTGGTGGGAATCGTCATCCCAGAGTTACTGGGTGTGTTTCAGATAATGTATAAATATGTTAAGAAATAGAAACAATGGCAGGTTTTGAAGCCAGGCACTAATAGAACAATTGTTTGTTGTGAGCATTTTGTCAAGAGGCTGGGTTAGTGCAATGAGGGAGATACTTACATGTAACCACAAGTGAGGGCTTCTTAATCACCAATACCTCTATAATTTCAGTGATTTAAATATCTAGGTATATATTTAAGAACCTTTCATTAGATCTGCAGGTTTGAAAACTGAAAATGAAACACACTGTCTTTCCTAGGCTCGTATCTGGAGACCCAGGCAAGAGAGGTCTGTGGGGTGCATGGAGGGTGTGTGCACTGGGTGATCTTGACCTTCCCCAAGTCGCTTAAATCTCATTTCCAATAGCAAGCTCTGCTCTCTCACGATAAGCCATGAGGCATCAGACTTCCACGCTCCAAAGGCTTTGGGGAAAACAGGACTTGGTCACTTCAAAAACCTGCCACAAGTGACAAGAATTGGCAGCAAAACTTCAGCCTTAAATTCGGCGTAATTGGGGACAAATCACAGTGTGTGACCTCTAATGAAGTCATAGCTGCCCGGGCACGTCCAAGAGGAGGATTAGTGCCGTGAGTGGTTGATGCCGCTCCCAAAGGCACTGAACGCTGCTCCTGTGGGGTCCAGCTCTCAGGTCTCTGGCAAGATGAAGCCCAAACCCTGCCCTGTTTGCTGATGCCTGTGCTGCTGCCACAGGAATGTCTGTGCACTATAAACATCTCACATCTGCAGAATGTTGAACTAAAAGTGTGTTTTGAACATTTGTTTTAGTGTTTGCACGCCATGGAGATCCAAGTAATGATTCAGTTTCTACCTGTAATTCTTATGCAACTATTTAGAGTCCTCACAAATGTGACCCAGGAAGATGAAGTTGCTGTCAACTGCACCATGTGAGTGTCTGCTGATCCCTCTGGTTTCCTTCTGTTACACAGGCAAAGCCACAAACCACGGTGCAAAACAGGGTGTGGTTTCCCAGTACAAGGTGTTAAGTGACAGTGTTGGCTGTCCACTGCTCTGCTGTGGAACACTGGCTGCTGCCTTCCCCTGGCACGTCTGGTGGCATTGGGCATTGTGGGACCCTTGTCCTGGGAGCTGTGTGAGGAAGAATCGTACAATCATGGAATGGTTTGTGTTGAAGGGACCTTAAAGCTCCTCCAGCTCCAGCCCCTGCCACGGGCAGGGACACTTTCCACTAGAGCAGGTTGCTCCAAGCCCCTGTGTCCAACCTGGCCTTGAACACTGCCAGGGATGGGGCAGCCACAGCTTCTCTGGGCACCCTGTGCCAGCGCCTCAGCACCCTCACAGGGAAGAGCTTCTGCCTCAGAGCTCATCTCAATCTCCCCTCTGGCAGGTTCAAGCCATTCCCCTTGTCCTGTCCCTAAATCCCTTGTCCAAAGCCCCACTCTGGCTTTTTTGGCTTCCTCTGGCTCCAGGATGTACCGTGCATCCCTCTGCCAGAAGCATCTCACTCCCATGAAACTGGAGGTTGGAGGCTGAGCCCTGGTCCCCTGGATATGTGCAGCCCATTGCAGTCATGGTCCTGTGCTGTGTCGTGCAGCTTGTGGGGACAATTTCTGTGCAGAACACTGTAAGCCCACTCTGTTTGAATCACCAGAGGACAGGGACAGGGAACACCCAGGTACCTGCTGGGTGACCATCTCCCACCAGCACTTCCAGAAATTTTATCAAAGCTTGGCCTGATGCTTCCCAGTTTGTCATTAGCTTTCTGTTCCAATTACAACTGTTTCCTCATCCAGACTTTCAGAGTGGAATTTAAAATCCACATTATCTGATAAATGGCTGTAAACTCCTCCCTGTGGTTTGGCCTGTGGGGTCTGTGACAATGTGCAATAGTTTGTTGTTCCCTCTGGCTGGTATTGGAACATAAACCCCAATGTTGGCTGGGGAATCCAGGCTCTTGCTGCCTTCGTCAGCTGCCTGGAGTGCTTCCAGAGGGCTGGCGTGTTCTCTAGGGCCTGCCTGTCCCCAGTGAACTGCAAGGCAACAGCCTGAGTGTGTGTAGATTCTGTAAGGAAAAGCCTCCCAGAATGAATAAATTCAGGGGATGAAGGAAGGTATCGCATTATAACAACGATGGTGAATGTTTTACCTGTTTATCATCAGAGATTCTGTGGGGGTTTGTGTTCATTTTGCAGGCCTGATGGTGTAGTTGTTCATTCTTGCTTATATTCTCATCAGGAAAGGGCTCCAGGTCAGGACAGAGTCAACACATGATAAACTGTGTAGTGTGGATGAACCTGTAGCCTCTTCAGGAGGGGGAAATGGGCTTGTGCTCTGCACAGCAGGTCCATAGGTACAGCCAGAGAGAACTGGGTGCAGAGCAGATGACCTTAATGGGTTTGATTTCAGTTTACCCGAGCAGTGTTCAGGTGCCTGATGCTCACTGCAACTGAATTTCAGTACTGGCAGGCTTTAATCCTGGCATGCACAGAGGCCAAAGAACAAGATATGTTACCCACAGGGAAATGCTGCCCCTCACCTCCTCGTGCAGGGAGCCTCGAGCATTGAAGGTGGCTGGTCTGGGAGACACCAGCACCACAGTGGAGAAGAGGCTTTGGGCGCCTCTACTCTGAGTGGGCTGTGCTGTGGCAGGGCTGGTGCAGCCACAGGAGCTGTGAGGGGTGCTTAGCCTGCAAGTACGGGCTCTGCAGTGCCAGCACTGAGGCTTTTGGGGTTGAGACAGATGGTGTCTGCTTTCACAAGCTAGAGGAACTTACCTTCGCATCACGTGCTGAACACAAACCACATTTCTCCCCAGGGTTCTTCTGCACATCGTGTCCAAGTGCCATGAAGAAGGTCTAGATCACTACTTGCGCTCCTTCATAAAGGTCAGTCATGACACATGGCTCTGCAAAACTCCCTGCTGGGAGCAGACACACGGCTGACACCGTTCCTCTTGCCTTCAGTATGTCTTTCGAGCCGAGAAACCCAGTGTCACCCAGGCGAAGATGACCCATGAAATCCTGGTCCTTTCCATGGCTTCAATCTTGAAGCAGTCGGCAGATTTTCTAACCATCAATAAGCTCCTCAAGGTGAAGTATGGGCAGTACTTGGCTGCTGAGGCTGCAGGGAAGGAGAAGGGGGTCTGCTATAAAGCCCAACACTTTCACCCATCCAAACCCACCACAGGAGCAGAACTACGAGGGCAGCTCCTCACATCCACATCCTTGAGGTTCTCCTGTTGCAACAGATGAATTCTTGCAGGGCATCTGGCTTATTAAAGCTCATGGCAGGACACAGCAAAGGGCTTTTCATTTTGCCAGTTTTCATAGAATCAGCTAGGTTGGAAAAGACCTTTAAGACCATCAAGTCCAAGCCATTCCCCCAGGACTGCCTAATCCACCACTAGCACATGTTTTGTATGTTTTCTTCAAGCCATATGGCTCATGAGAGCAGGATGAGATTCTGCCAGTCTGGGCCTTTGCAGGGCTTACACCCCGAACTGCTGCACTTGGGTGCAGATGCAATGGAGCTATTCCCACCCCAGACTGGCAGGACTCCTCTGGGTGGCAAAGGCACCCATACTAAGCTGGCCATGCAGGCACTGCCCAGCTTGCAGAACATCATCTGAACGTGAGCTCTCCCTCCCACACTCTGCTTCCTCACACAGTCAAACATGTTCAGTCCTGCTGAGAAAAGTAATGGTGTTCTCTGTTCCTTCTAGTACTCATGGTTTTTCTTTGAAGCACTGGCAAAGTCCATGGCAATGTACTTACTGGAAGAAAACAAAATCAAGGTAATAAGTTTGTTTGATGCGTGTTACAGAGCTGTCACAAACTGTCCTCCAAAGGCTTTCCTGAAAAACTATCTAACTCTTATGTATGAAACCCCTGCCAAGCAGAACAGGCAGATCCTTCCCTTTTCACTTGACTTTTCCCTTCTTCCCCTTTTCACTCTCAGTTGTAAGTTGAAAATTCCTGAGCTCCGTATGGCTCGTGCAGCCTCCTTTTGTCCCTGGCTCCTGCCGTTCCTGCCAGTGCTTGCTTTGTGCCAGTGCTATGCTGGGAAGCAGCACACGTGCTGGAGGGAGCTCCTTGCAGCACTGACTGTGGGATGTGCTCTTGGTTCCAGCTGCCCAGAGGCCAGCGGTTCCCTGACTCCTACCAGCATGCCCTGCACTCGCTGCTGCTCGCCATCATCCCCCACGTCACCATTCGCTATAATGAGATCCCTGAGGAGTCCAGGAATGTCAACTTCAGCCTGGCCAACTTTCTGAAGGTCAGCACTTTCTTCTCTCATGCTTTTATCAGGAAAGAAAATCAACCCAAACAGTGAGAAATAAGCAGCAAGCAAACAAATGTGTGTGTGCTTTGTCAGCTCTTTGGTTTCATAGAAGCCCAGACTGGTTTGTGTTGGAGGGACCTTAAAGCTTATCCAGTTCCAACCCCTGCCATGGGCAGGGACACCTTCCACTAGAGCAGGTTGCTCCAAGCCCCTATGTCCAACCTGGCCTTGGTATGAGAACTCTGGAGGGAATAAACTTTCCTAGAAAAGAAACTTAATCTTTCCAAGAGAGACTACAATACTCTATGATGTTGCCCAGGGCTTTCAGTCATGCCCAGCAACTGTTTAGAACACAAGAGGAAATATGTGTGCTCTCATTTTAAATATTTCTGTTGTCCACTGGAGACTAAGTGAGGGCATCCAAATAATTTCAGCGAAACAGGATCAAGTATGTTTGGGAAGCCAGCAGCAGCCTGAAGGACCCAGTCTGCCTGCTGGCAGGACGGGAGTATGGAGGTGATTTAGGATGATTGCTCCTGTTTGTAATGATCAGTCACATGTTGCTACTTTCTCCCCAGCGTTGTTTGACCTTTATGGACAGAGGATTTGTTTTTAACTTAATAAATGATTACATTTCTGGATTCAGCCCAAAAGATCCCAAGGTAAGCTGTACGTTTCTTGAAAGGCGGTTTGCAGTTGTACCTATCTGTGTCAGTTAAAGTTCTGTGGTGATTATTTTATGACTCTTGGAGGCCTTTTAGACACTGTCCCTGCAGAGTCTTCTGGAGGCAGACACGTCTTTGGGCTGAGAGCCTCCCTGCAGCTAAGCTTTAAATCAATGTAGAGTCAGAACTAAAGCACAAATTTGTTAATAGTTAGGGTGAAAAAGGTAAAGAGTCCCAAGTGACAGGTCCATGCACAGACACTTAGGGGGAACAACACAAAAAATTGCCAGTTATTACTGAGTTTCATCAGATGTTATTTAGATTCACCAATCCTTGAGCAACAAACACACTGAGCTGGAAGAAAATGAGTCAGACTGAGTACTTTCTGTTTGTCTTTTCCTTTTCTCAGCTGCTGGTTGAATACAAGTTTGAATTTCTTCAAACCATTTGCAATCACGAGCACTACATTCCTCTGAACTTACCAATGGCCTTCTCCAAACCCAAGCTGCAAAGAGTTCAAGGTATGTCCTTTCTCAAGAGACTCGCTAGGGAGCTGTAATTTATTAGTTGTGATGGCTTCTGACCAGATGGGATTTTTTGATGTCAAGGAAATTTATGTCCTGGTTAGCCTGATGTACATTAACCTCAGGAGAAGATGCTGCTTCTGGCAACTTTACATCTTTCTGCTCCAGCATGATGTGCAATCCATCTTTTCAGTGTTTCCTATATTTAAGTTTGCATGGGAACTAACAATATCAGAAAGAAACTGCCCCTATTTCAGGAAATACACAAACTGTGCAAGTGTAATCCTTTGTTCCCAAAAGTGTCAGCACCCCCTGAGAAGCAGAGGGTCCCCCTGGTCAGTGCTGTAGAGAATGGAGATACAGGAGAACAGACTGAATTCCCTCTGCACTGCCAGCTCTCTTTGTGGCCACAAGAAGGTGGCTCAGGTTACCTTCTGTTTTCATTTTGAACAAGAGCGTAGCAGTGCATGGTGCGCTGAAGCTTGTACTCAAACATGGGCTAAAGGCAGCCAGCAGAGAACTAGAGCCCATGCCAAGCCTTAGCACATACCAAGGATGGACATACTGTGGCACCACCGCCCCGTCTCCAGGCTGCTTTCCCTGTCACACCATGTCCCTCTTGGTCCTGATGCTGCTCAACACAAGGCTGGTTGGGTTTGCAAGAGGCTGAGGCCCTGTGCAAATGTGGACCACAACACATCCTAAGATTGCTATAGACATAGCTCCATGTCCTAGATAAGTAAAGATTGCCAGGTTTGGGTGCCTGGCCAAGATAAACACTGGAGAGGAGAGTGAGCTTTGGGATTCCCCCACGTGAAAGCCCAGTGGGTTTGTGATTCTGTGATTTATTGTGATGGAGGCAAGGGGATGTTTGGTCGTGCCTCAGGGTGCAGCCATGCAAGTCCCAAAGTGGTTCCACACATACGCCAGTGGCAGAAGCAGAAGTCACTGTGAAGTGTGTCTTATTTTGGTGTTTTTCTGACCACTTAGAGCTTTCTGGACCAGCTACTAATCTCTTACATCAGTTTGGCTACTTGCCTGGCATAGTTTAACAAAGTGCACTGCTAGAAATGGCTGAAAACCCACAACCACAGTGCCTTCCTACTGCTTATTCGTGGCATGATAACGTGATGATGCTCTTTCTCGGTTCACATTCACCTTTGCATTTGCAATGGTTAAACTGAAAAGCTATAAGAGCAGCTTCTCTTTTCTCCTCTGTTTTACTGTGACTAGGACCTACCAGCTGAGGTTCACACACATCCCGTGACAGCAGAGCAGCCAGAAGTGCCTTTGCCATGGTGCCTGTGCTCTGCCTGCCATGGTAGAGACGTGTGGTGGCATCTCCATTGCAAAGTGGTCTGGTTTAATGGACAGACGCTGTGGGGACAGCAGGCTCGGAGGTGGGGAGGTGTGATGTGCACATCTCACCCAGGAGATACCCTGCTGGTGTACCTCACCTCATTTGGAGGAAGAGCAGTAACATGCCCAGCACCCTACTGCTGTGCTTCTGGGAAAAGAAGGAATAGCCCCCAGGAAGGTGGATAAAGAGGCCTTCTGCAGCAGACGCCTGCAGGCAGAGCACGTCCCTGTGACCACATCCTGTTGAGTCGGAATGTTGCATCTTGGAGCAGTTTCCCTGAAACATCCCAGCTGTGAGGGCTGGTTTCTGGTCTCCATCCCTGCTGCCTCACCCTAGGGATGTGTTTCATCAGCCAGAGCAAGCCCCAGAGCCCATCCTCATAGCCAGCAGCACAGGATTGTTTTTGCAACCTTGTGATAGCAAAGAATCCAAGAGATTGGCAGGAGCAGGGGGTTAAGCAATAGCCCTACCAACAACACTAAAACATGACGCGCTGTCCTGTTTCTCCAAGGTTTAGAGCATTACTTATTCCTGTTTATTTTTCCTGTCTTATTTGTCCCTTTTCACACGTAAATTAGAGTATTTTTCAGTTGCTGTGGGACGGGTCACTTCAGTGGGTAGGTCCAACTGGGGTCATTGAGCTTTCTAATGACAAATTAAATACACAGCTTCCAATCAATCGGCTTGCATCCAACTGATGAACTAACCATGATGTAGGACACTTGGGCATTTACTAACATGACTAACAATGAAAGCTAGATAATGTTTCCACTTGCTTTCCCTTTCTTCTGAATCACACTTTCACAAACCACTACATGCTACTTGTGAATCAATGAACTTAACCCTGTCTTTTGCAGCCCCAGAGCTGTTGGAAGGCTTTGGCTGGGATTTCCAAAGCTGTGGGTATGCTCCCTGCCTCACCACAGAAAAGCTTTCACACCTATGGGGTTTTCAAGGACAGAAGTCCAAGCTGAGAATGCAGCATTCATACCTTTGGGGGAGAACACACAGCTTTGGGGTTATCCCTCTGGGAGGCTCAAGGCAACAGTCAAATAGTGACTGTTGAGGCTCTAGTTAGGTGTATGGGTTGTCTGACACAGATAATGGTGTTAGGGCAAGGTCATTCATAGCAGCTGAAGGGCACACTGAAATCTGTGTCATTTCCCTGCTGCATTATCCAGGCAGGTCAGTGGAAACGCTGCATTACCCTGATGTCTTTAGCCTTGTCATCAAAGGAGCAGCCACTCCTTTGACCACAGTCTGGAGGCCCAATCTACATGAGATGCAGGGTAGAAGTTAACCAACGTGATCAGCTACGGAGCTGCCTTTCTCCCGGCAGTCAGCGTATCCTACCTGCTGTGGGAAGCAAAGGGAGCCTCACACTTCCTGGCAAGCTGCTGCCTGGAATGCTGCCCTGGCTCCCTGGTCCTTGTTACGTAGCTGTGTAAACTGCTGGAGGATGCAGTAGTGGCCACTTGGCACCAAGTCCTTGTTTGCATCCCTTATCTCAACAGGAATATTTGCCTTTTCTCTGCTCTCTGACCTGGCAAGAAGGAATGTAGATGGCATGAGAAATGTGGAACAAGCTGCAGGAAGGGCCTTACTAGGGCTGGGCAACTATGATGGGTGCACCGTCCCCACTGCCCATTGCCACCCTCAGAGCTGCTTGTGGAGGTTGGCACCTCAACTGCCCAGGTTTACAGGGCAGCCAGGAGCAAAGCAGCCCCCGGGCTGCAAGTCCATCCTGACTTCACGATTCACTCTGGAGCACTAAGCTTTGTAAAGCATCACACTGTGGAAATCCTTTTCAGTGCTGCTGAAACAGTGAGGGCTGAAATTAATCATAGAACCGTTTGGGTTGGAAGGGACCTTCAAAGCTCATCTAATCCAATCCCCCTGCAACGAGCAGGGACATCTTCAAGTAGACCAGATTGCTCAGAACCACATCCAGCCTGGCCTGGAATGTCTTCAGGGATGATTAGCCTGAACCGGAAGATGCCACGTTCTTTGCTATGACTTGACTCAGAGGTGGAGAAAGCTGTTGTCAGATCAGTGCACTGTAGGGGAGAGTGACGAGCCTGCAAGTGGGCTGTTGTGGCTTACGTGACCATTTTGTCTCGCTCTGACCAGCTCCTCAGAACAGTTCCCTTAACCATTGCCTTGCTGTTTCTTTCAGATGTCAATCTTGAATACAGTTTAACTGACGAGTATTGCAGACACCATTTCCTGGTGGGGATGCTTCTCAGAGAAGCCTCTGTTGCCTTGCAGGACAACTATGATATCAGATACACAGCCATCTCGGTCTTAAAAAATCTCTTGATAAAGCATGCCTTCGACAACAGATACCAGCACAAGGTCAGGATTTTCTGTTGGCTTTTAAACATGATGGTCTTGAGTTTGATGAAGAAGCACAGGTCAGAGTTTTAGATATGTGTGGTGGTCCAAGAGCACTCTCCTTACTTTTTAGGGAACTGTTGTAAGTAACTGATGATTATGGCAAAACAGTAACAGAGGTTCAGTGGAATGATCTGAGACCACAAACAATGCAGTCAGATATCCTGCTGAGTATTTAGATACTAAAGCCCTGAGCCATTAAGGAACTTGAGAGTGTCGTTAGCCCAGAGGCTGTTCAACAAAACTGAGCAATGTTGATGTTCTGGTACTGAGCTTAAATTCATATCCTTCATTAACGTACAGTAATTAGGAAACAGGACTGATCTCTGTTACAATCAGCTGCATGTTTTACTAATTGGTGAATCAGAGGAGAGGATCTGTGGATAAGATGCTGGATTTCCACTGGGGAATTCTTCAGTCAGAGGCTCAGCATTGCTGTTGCTGAAAAGCCTGGGATTGAGCTGATTTTCTTCCCTGATGCCGCTCCCTGCTAACCCGTACATCCCTGAACATGCCCAGCTACCTGTGCAGACACTACCTGACCTTGCTCTAGGCTGAAAACGTGCCTCTGTTGAGAGTTTAGCTCCTCAGATTGCTCCTGGTGTGCTGCGTTGCTGGGTTTTATCTGGGAATGCAGATACCTTCCTGGGCATGAAGGGTAGAAGGGATCTGCGCTTGCATGCACCTGGAGCCAGCTCCTTTCCTCTCCTTCCTTGCCTGTTTGGAAGGGCTGAGCAGGAGGTGGTCTTGCTTTTCCCTGCACTGAGGATCCATGGTGACTTGCGCAGCCTGGAAATAGAAGTGCAGCCCATGGCAGTTGGCAAGACTTGGTATTTTCAGGAGAGATTTGCCAGTTCTCTGTCAATACTGAGGCTGTTTCTGCCTCTCTGGCTGCCTGGAAACCCTCACACGAATGCAGGAGCTGTTCGGCATGCTGCACTGTCCCTGCCTCCTCCAAAACACCACCCGGCTTAGAACTCCCCCACTGGATTTCTGTACATGTGTTGAGCTCCTAGCTGCGTGAGCAGGAAACTGCCTGGAGCCAGGGCAGGAGGCTCAGCTGGTGTCCTGAGACGCCAGAGCAAATACCACAACAGGGGCAAGAGGCTCAGCTGGTGTCCTGAGACACTAGAGCAAATACCACAACAGGGGCAGGAGAGGCTGATTTCTATTATCTTTTGTCATAGTGAGTCAAACAACTGGATTCTTGTATTATCGACATGTCCATTTAATTGGCAAGCCTTAAATTTCTTCTTTTTTAACCTTTTTGTTAAGTGCAGAAGAAGAAATTTTTAACAAAAAGAGGATTGCATGTAAAAGAACCTTGCATTTAGAAAATGTCAACCAGACCCTTTTTGATCTGTATCACTTAAGCCAAATGAATCTGTTTCTACAAACTGTTTAGTCACTCCCTCTTTCTGAGCACCATTCTCTATAGAATGATGGACTTAATCCCAGTCCTACTGAGAAACAAACTAAGATGGAAATGATTATATGGACATTATTTTTCATAATACATTGTCATTTGTATAGTTTTACAGAACCTCTTTTGCTGGGTGAAGAAGAATGAACATCTGTTATTAATAATAGTACAGTAAAATATAACAATAATTATATCTCAAATTAATGTTTTAATTAGAAGCATTTGCTATCAAGAACTTCTGACTGGCAGCACTAGCCAGCACCAAGCAAGATCTGCTATTACTCCTGGGTGTTGCACTCAAAAATCAAGCCGTGGGAGTGAAGTACCAGTTAAAGGGTTGGGAAATCTGGGATTCAGTTCCTCACACATCCTGTATGACCAGGAATGTTATTCAGCCCCCAGTATCCCCGAGTGCCCCAAGCTTACTGCTAAAAGGGTAATCCCTACCTGGTAGCTCTGAAGTGGAGATGAGAAGCCAAACCAACCCATGTCCTCAGACACCATGTAGAGTGTGTAAACATATGTATGTGTGTTTGGCTCAAGAGTTTCCCTTTTACCCTCCACTATGAGCCTGGGCTCTTCTTGCATCTTTCTCCCCGTCTCTTTGCAGAATCAGCAGGCAAAGATAGCGCAGCTCTACCTGCCGCTGCTGGGGCTGCTCCTGGAGAACCTGCAGCGCGTGGCCGGCCGCGACGTGCTCTACTCCTGCACCGCTGCCTCCAGCCCCGTGAGTACAGCCCAGCCAGGCGTCTTGGCCTCCTCCTCCTCGGTCCTCCTCCTGCACAGCCCTGTGGGGCTGCCACTGCCTGCAGCCAGGCACAGCTTCAGGAATAAGCGTGCTTTTCTTCTCCCCACAGCCCCGTAATGTGCTTGTTCCTTTTAATGTGCCTTTTCATTGAATCATAGAATGGTTTGGGTTGGAAAGGACCTTAATTAAAATCATCCAGCTCCAACCCCTGCCACGGGCAGGGACACCTTCCACTAGAGCAGGTTGCTCCAAGCCCCTGTGTCCAACCTGGCCTTGAACACTGCCAGGGATGTCTCTGCCTTTTTGCTTGCTGTTATTCAAAGTGTTTTCTCATGGTGTGTGTAGTGGCGTGAGATGGAGTAAGTCACTCCAAGTGCAATGAGTTGCAACAGGGCTCAGCCTTGGACTCCAGCAGCTGTTCTGGGGAGTTGCCCATCTGCCTGAGGGTTGTGTGTGGTTCCCAGGCAGGCTCAGCCTTGCAGATCAGACTTTCCTCCTTGTTTGGGGCAAAGCAACAACAACAAAAAGGCGTTTGAGGAAAAACAGTTCAAATTTTCAACTTAAATGATGAAAAACAAAAGGGAAGAAACTGCTTTTACTCATATGTTCTGCTGTGCTTTGTGCTGCTCCCCAAGTCATTTGTCTCCTTGTTATGGAAGTAACGAAATAGATTTTTATTTTTTAACCTGCATTTTAAAAGCTGCTTTAATTTGCTTTTTCCTATTTCGTTATTCTCTTCTCTAAGAGAATAAGTGTTATCTTCACTGGTCACCAAAACCTTTATATTGCTTTACAGGCATCCAGGGATGAATTCATGTACAGTTTTGCATCTCCCTCAAACAGATCCAGCCTGATTGCAGACAAAGATCCAGGTAAATACATTTTTCTAAACTTTAACTCTTTCATTGATTTTTAATGTAACTATTACCAGCCCCAAAACCCCCATTCCCAAAACCTGAAACAGTCATGGAATCAGAATCCCAGACTGGTTTGGGTTGAAGGGACCTTAACGCTCATCCAGTTCCAACCCCTGCCACGGGCAGGGACACCTTCCAGTAGAGCAGGTTGCTCCAAGCCCCTGTGTCCAGCCTGGCTTTGAACACTGCCAGGGATGGGGCAGCCACAGCTTCTCTGGGCACCCTGTGCCAGCACCTCAGCACCCTCCCAGGGAAGAGCTTCTGCCTCAGAGCTCATCTCTGTCTACCCTCTGTCAGCTTTGGGATCTTCCACTCGCTGTCTGTGATGAGCTGAGCTGTGCCAGTGCAAAGGGGCTAATTGTGGGGTTTGGGTTTTTTTCAGCCTGTGGAGCAGCACTTCCAAATGGCCATGGGCTAAAGCGGGAGGACTCCAAAGGATCCCTGAACTCAGAGGGGGCAACCAGTAGTTCCCCGGATCAGAGTGAAAATGTAACGTACCTGGGGTTGGAAAGAAGGGTGTTCACTGCTCCCCTCTGTGCAGTGTCTTAAGTAAGGGGGAGGGAGAGGAGTTCCCTGTGGTAGCAGTCTCAAAAGCCAGCTTATAAATATCTCTGCTTGGAAACAACGCGATTGCTGTTGAAGAGAGGAGGTCAGACTCATGGCTCTGGTATGCTTACCCTCTTCAAACATCTCTGAGCCAAAAATAAAACTGTTGACAAATTATTTATCAGAGATGAAAGGCAAGGTCTGTGGGGAAAATCTCTGCTCCCATGGTGTGTTCATCCCTACTCAGGCATGCTCCCTGTGCGTGGATGGGTCTGAGCTTGGCCAGTACCCAGTGCATGGTGCTGGGAACTGGTTTCCACACACGGCGGGAGGCAGAGCACCATGATATGGGCTTGCTGGTGACCACTGGCTTAAGAGAAGGTCAGGTGTTGGTAGGAAAACCAGTAACCGCTGCCCCACAGTCACAGAGGGTGACTGGGGTCACACCACGAAGAGCTCTGACCCCGCTCTTCAGGCAGGGTGTGCTCTTCTTGTTGGCAGGTTGCACACATGGAAATCAGGTATTTGTGCAAACCAGCTCCTGGTTTTCCTCAAGGCGCTTTCCAGATGTCTTGGGTTGGTGTGAATCATTAATGCATCTTTAAATACTTTGCCCCTTCCAACAAGCAAGGCAAAGATTATCTGGGCTCCTGCTGTCTGTGTCCTGACATGCTTTGGGGAGGTGGGGCCTCTCAAGCTCTCCCACACAAATCATGAAGACCAAGTATAGCCAAACACTTGACTATCAAACTGTTCATACTCAGCAGTGAGCATATGCTTCAACCCTGCTGAGCTTGCAGCTTGGCTTTTCCCCACAGCTAGACATCCTCTTCTGTGTCCATGATGGTATGTTTTACAGGGTCATTGGAACAGCTCTTCCATTAGGGAATGCAAAAGCCACAAAACCCTGTAAAGGCGATGCCACATGGAGGAGCAGCTCTAACACTGCTCTACAGAGGTAGACACGTTGCTTGTCGCCCGTTCCCCTGGCGTAAGAAGTGTGACTTGATAGTTTGGCATGGTCAATAGCAAAGTTAGGGCTATAGCAGTGTGTCTCCAACTCTAAACTGAATGTTTTGTTCTGTTTGATTATGAGTCACATCCACAGCTTGTCCCAGAGTACAGAACAAATAGGGTCTGTGGAGCACTCTCCAAACATGTGAGGCACAGCTTTAAGAGGAGCATCCTGCTTAGAGCTTAATCGTATCCATTTGTTGGAGAGTAGCATAGGGCGAGCTCAGAGGGTGCCCAAAAAATTGGGAAAGCTTTAGAAGTTGTGTTTCCACCGTACAATGCTCAGGCCTTTCCACATGGATTGGCTTACCAAGAGGATTTCACTTCTCTTTGCCTAAGTCAGTAAGAGTTAAAAAACACTTCCAAAGATCAGGGGAAAAAAGTCATAGAATCATGAAATGGTTTCGTTGGAAGGGAGCTTAAAGCTCCTCCAGCTCCAACCCCTGCCATGGGCAGGGACACCTTCCACTGGAGCAGGTTGCTCCAAGCCCCTGTGTCCAACCTGGCCTTGAACACTGCCAGGGATGGGGCAGCCACAGCTTCTCTGGGCACCCTGTGCCAGCGCCTCAGCACCCTCACAGGGAAGAGCTTCTGCCTTAGATGTAACCTGAACTTCCCCTGTTTCAGTCTGAACCCATCACCCCTTGTCTGATCGCTACAGTCCCTGGTGAAGAGTCTCTCTGCAGCATCATGTATTTAAGAAAATATATTTTCTCAAGATGAAATTTCCTGTTTTTTCAAGAGCTGACATCACTGTTTTGAGGTGTACATCTGTAACAGAAAGTTAGATTCTTGCTTCAAACCATGACAGCTGATGAATCATTTTGTTTCACAAGAGCTGTCTTTGAAACTGTCCAGGAGCTCAGACACTGCAGGCAGGAGTAGGGCAGTGAATGCAGGGCTGGGAGGGCTGACCTATGTTCTGCTGGATAAAGCAGTGTCCTCTGCCCAGCCATCTCTTGTCTGGGCAGAGAAGCACTTGGCCCCGTGTCCAGAGTTTCCAGACTGCTCATGTCTCCCAAGCATGGTGCTGTGGGGTGCTGGCACACGTGGTTTGCTGTGCCCATACTGCATGGTACCGTGCTCAGGCACAGCCCAGGCAATGGGGCCACTGGTTCCGTGTCACCTCTGTGCCCACAGATCCGCAGGAGCTCCACGAGGAGCAGTGTGTCACACTGCAGCCGGCTGGACCAGTTTGAGATCCGGACACTCCTGATGTGCTACCTCTATGTTGTGAAGATGATCTCTGAAGGTTGGTGGCTCTTGCTCAGAAGGGGGTCAGCCAGAAAGACAAGAGACTGTCACCAGCACTTTTGGTCTGTAAGATCCCCCTTTAATTTGTTTCACATCTCAGTACACTGTGGGCTTTTTTCTTTCAGATACTCTCTTGGCTTACTGGAACAAATTCTCCCCCCAAGAGCTGATCAATGTCCTTGTGCTTCTGGAGTGAGTATCATGAGGTTGCAGTTCAAACACTGCACCTTCCTGTGGGCAGCATTGTCCAAAAAGGTGGCACAAGTGTAGAGTGCCCCTCAGAGCACACGGTCCTCTGCAGCACTGGGGTGTGCAACCAGGATGTAAGGAAATGTTCTTCCTCCCCCTGAGGAGGAATGGGTGTGTACGGAAGGAGCAGGGTGCAGAGGCTGTGCTCTGTGCTCGGTCCAGGCTGTCAGAGGGTGTCCCACCACCCGCGGGTGAGCAGGGCTCTGGGCACAGCCTCTGCTTTGCATGGGCTTGTGGGACAGATGGATGAGGAGACAGGGATGTGCCATAGGGTTTGGAAACCAATGGTGTGGAGTCATGTGCCCTGTAGATACAGACCCAAGCACTCATGCACAGAGTGTGTCTGCAGACAAGGACAGGGTATAATGTAAATCACAGAATCCCAGCCTGGTTTCTATTGGAAGGGACCTTAAAGCTCATCCAGTTCCAACCCCTGCCACGGGCAGGGACCCCTTCCACTAGAGCAGGTTGCTCCAAGCCCCTGTGTCCAACCTGGCCTTGAACACTGCCAGGGATGGGGCAGCCACAGCTTCTCTGGGCACCCTGTGCCAGCACCTCAGCACCCTCCCAGGGAAGAGCTTCTGCCTCAGAGCTCATCTCAGTCTCCTCTCTGGCAGGTTCAAGCCATTCCCCTTGTCCTGTCCCTGCAGGCCCTTGTCCAAAGCCCCTCTCCAGGTTTCTTATTGGCCCCTTCAGGTGTTCTGGATGTTCCTGATCTGCAGGATCTGTAACAGGTCCATATTTTATTTTCTTTCTTTATTAGGGTGTGTTTATTTCACTTCAGATACATGGGGAAGAGAAACATTGCCAGGTACTGTATGATGCCACCCGGGTGGGGAGGCTGTCCTCATGCTCCCTGTCAAGGCCGAAGGATCCAGGCAAACTGGGGCAGGCAGGAAGCCCGTGGGGCCGGGGCTCTGTTCAGCGCCATGCCAGCAGCATTCCCTCATCCTTGCACCCTGCCGCTTCCCTCCCCTCCAGCTCCTGCATGAGACCCCCCAGCCCTGGCACTCCCGGCTGCCCGCGCAGGTTGGCAGCATCCCCCGTGGTGAGCTGTCACGAGCCTCGGCTGCCCCTCTGCTCCCGAGCATCCCCCTGCTGTGGCTGTAGCTCCAGGGCCATCGGGTGCGGGAGAGACCTGGGCAGCCTGGTCAGTCCCACGGGATTGTCTGGGATAAACCAGATGAGTGCGTTGGAGGGAGGCCAGTCTCCATCCTGGTGCCTCATGTAATCCTGCCGCTCATCCCAACGCACAGTGTTCACCTCCCCTCGCAGGGTGCACGACGCCTGGTTATCCAAGCACACGGGAGCTGATAGGAAATCCCAGACGATGCCGGCGCTCCGCAGCAGAGCCGGGGGGATGCAGGTGCGACTCCAGCATCTGGGCAGCTTGGAGACCTCCTTCACACTCAACCACAGTATGTACAGCAGAGGGTTAGCCTGCTGAAAGCTGCATGTACCCATCTTCCACTTGCTACTCATTGCTTCAGGCTGTTCAGACTCTGCAGAATGACAGTGGTCTCTGCTCTTCCCTGCAGCATTCCTGGACTGGTGTGGGTGACATTTAAGCCAGCCCCTTGGTAATCCCCCCTGGGACTTAGGGTTTGTGAGGCTTTTTCCTCTTGCCTGTCTTGGCTTAGCTTCTGCGCTGAGTGTGGTGCAGGAGACCGTGGTGTGGGTAGTGAGCAGGGGAGAGCTGCCACACACAGGGACCTGAGCCACCGTCTGCTCTAAGCCTCTCCTCGGTTTTGTCACATTTAAGCACCTCACCACTTCCCCTCTGTGGATATGACTTGGACACTGTGTTCTCTGTCTGGCTTTAAAGGCAGTGAGATTAAGGGGAAATATCGATGTTGGCTTTCTCAGTTGGCATCAGGCAGCTCCTCTGACTGGAGCTGGCAAATTCAGCATCTTGGTATTCTTACCTTATCTCCCAAGTGAAATGCAAGGGGAGAACCTCATCTATATCAGCATTTAGATCTTGTGGGAGCTGGAGTGTTGAACACTGTTTCCTGATTTGCTTTCCATCCCCAGATGCAGGCACCTCAGAAGCAGATATTGTGCACCAGGCGTTGCTGGAGGGCAATATCGCCACCGAAGTGTGCCTCACAGTCCTGGACACCATCTCTTTTTTCACCCAGAGTTTCAAGGTCAGCGTTGAAATCAACACTATTGTAGAAAAGTGGCTGTGTCTCTGTCTGCATGTTGATGGTGGTGATCCATTGTCCTCGAGTGACGCATTATGGGAGGTTTTACAACAGCAAATCCTTGTTCAGTTTATTCTCTGCTATAAAAGTAGCCTCTGACTAAGTAGTGCAAGTTTGTCCTGTCACATTAATAAATGATTTTTACTGTTCCTTATCTGCCTTAAGAATTGATGTGATAAATTATACAAAGTTGTCTCTGTCATTTCCAGCTTCAGACACAATATTTCTGTTAAATACTCTTGTTGCTTTCCAGGCCCAGCTTTTAAGCAACGATGGCCACAATCCACTCATGAGGAAGGTTTTTGATATTCATCTGGCTTTTCTCAAAAACGGGCAGTCAGAAGCAGCTCTTAAGCACGTGTTTGCCTCTCTGAGAGCTTTCATTAGCAAGGTATGTAACACGTATTAGCAAGGTATGTAATACATGACTCCAGAGGGACAGGACAATTTATATAGGTATGATAGAAGACACCAGTGCACTTACTCTCCTTTTAAACTTATATTTTGAGCTGTTTGGAAATGTGTTTTAGAAAACTTCTTCACTGATTTTGGTTCCCTCACCTGCCCTGATCACTTTAACTGCTGTTAAAAATATAGTATCTGTTTGAACAAAAGCTCGTGCTTCTTGAATCTTTACCCTAAACTGACACTACTCTGACAATGCTATTGCTTGAGTAATACTTGTGCTGACAAGCTGCTCCTCTCCCACTGCATGTGAAAGAGGGATAGGACTTGCTGAACCTCTTTCTACACTTTTCCGTGCCCTGGTATATGACTGTTTAATCCCTGTGCTCAAGCAGCATCAAAGCTACCAGCTAAGCACGTAAGAGCAGTGACTGATGCTATTGCTGACATTTCCTTTCACGCTTGTCAGAACCTGCCGCATCTTACAAGCACTTTTTCAAGAGCAGATATACGTGCAAACCCCACTCCTCCCAAGCTGCACGGTTCTCATAAATTCAAAAGGAATTACAACCTCTCAACTCACTTGTATGCAGCTTGTCATTAATAAGCTAAATCCACGTGGCATGAGATTGCAGCCAGGAAGAGAACAGTGTGTGAATGATAAGCAGCGAAGTGTTGCTTCCAAACGAGGTCTTGCACTAGTTGCTGAGCAAAGTTTGATTAAAGAGACCTCTAAACTGCTTTTCAAAGGTGGAAACCATCTGTGCTATGTACATTTTACTACTCACAGTGAAGCTAAGACCGGGTATGAGTATGAATTATACTGGAATAGAGCTAGGGCTGAATTTTGGGTTGTCCTAAGCAAACACATGGGAAGCAGAAAATGCAGAATTTTGCTGACTACCTGTCCACAGGAGACACTGTGGTCTCCTGTGAGACGCTTTCCATGGGGCTTCTTAAAGCCTGCTAAGTTGACAACTGGCACTGGCAGGAATCATGGAACACACATAAGGAAGGCTGCAATTTCTTAAGAGAAATCTGCACTAAGGGGTTTTCGTGTACAATGTGTGTAGGTAGCACTGGTGTAAGTTCTTGGTTTCTTTGAAAAGCTTTTTTAGCACTGAGACTGAAGAAGCTACACAAGAATCATTGCCTGCTGTGTTATGCAGATGCTAATTCTGCCAGCACAGGGCAGCGTGGCACAGAATTTCCAAGGTGTCTTTCCTAACATTTGCCTGCCTCTTGTGAAGTTCCCCTCAGCGTTTTTCAAGGGAAGGGTGAACATGTGTGCTGCCCTCTGCTATGAGATCCTCAAGTGCTGCACTTCCAAGGTGTCCTCCACGAGGAACGAAGCCTCCGCTCTTCTCTACCTCCTGATGAGAAATAACTTTGAGTTCACCAAAAGGAGAACGTTTCTGAGAACGCATCTTCAGGTCAGTGACTGGTGACAAGCAGGACACCTCAGGCTTAATGAACAGATAGATCAATATAACTGTGTCACCTCATATCTGCAGAGGATCTTGCTGTTGTTATATGGCCAAAAATCCTCTTGATTTCCAGGCTTTGCTTAATTCCCGTTCCCAGTGATCGGCCCAGGGCCCTTCGGGTAAAATACGCTGCCAAAGGGCTCCAAGCTGTTGAGTTTTTCGACTCACAGACACAAGGCACATCTCTGCCCCAGAGGCTGACTGGGATGGGGTGGAAAGGACAGTGGGAAGAGCTGCCTTTGAGGCAGGAGAAGGGATTTTTCTGGAGCTGCCTTTGCAGCATTGAGTTTTCGAAGCAAATTTAGCCATCTAGTGAGGCAGATGAATGTTGTCTGTGTTGCAGTGAATCACAGAAGAAGGTGACTAATGTCCAAACAGGGATTTGCATTACGACTGTGATGTTGCTAATTCTGTGAACTCACTGTTCAGCAAAGCAGTTTAGTCCTCTGGGGAGTATTTGTCCTGGGGAGATGTGACAGCAAAGCCACAAATGTTACTTGTGCTGTGGGAAAGACGTGGTGTTTTCCTATAAGCATTTCATGTAACTGTGACAATAAAACTCCTCTATTAGGGCTATTAAATAAAGCCCCACCCTGTCCCAACAGATAATAATTGCAGTGAGCCAGTTAATAGCAGATGTGGCACTCAGCGGTGGGACCAGGTTTCAGGACTCTCTGCTGATCATTAACAACTTTGCAAACAGTGACAGGCCCATGAAGGTAAGTTGGGGACATTAAATCACGTCATGTGCTATCAGCCATTGATGAAAGACTGGGGGCACGCTCAAGGAAACTGTGATTAAGGGTAAAGATGATGACTAGAACTATGATTTATGAGCTCCTGGTGGACTATGTTTTCTCAGTAAATGAGTATTATGCCACCAGTGACAGGGCCAACTGCACAGGCAGGTTATGCTCCATCCATGTGGCCTCACATCAAGAGGAGGGAACTCTGCAATCAGGTTACACTTTGCAAAGTGTTCAGCTTACAAGGGTGGCCAAAGAGCTTTCCAAGAACTTTCAGCTTTGAGAGGAATGACACAGAAGAGCCTGGTACTTCTGTTGCCCGAAGGTTATAATTAGCAGGAATTAATTTTTATTAATTGAGTATCAGCAAGATTAAGAAAGCTCTCTTTCAGTGAGACTAATGGTTGTATTTCTTTGGAAAAGAATTGTCTTGGTGCTAAAATTGACACCTTCTACCCAACCCACTGAACAGTGTGTCAACACTGCAGCTTGCTCCATGGCACACAGTGCGGCTGCCAAGATAGGATAGAGGAAAACACAAATGTTTTCACAGTTCACAGGCAGGGACACCTTCCACTAGAGCAGGTTGCTCCAAGCCCCTGTTTCCAACCTGGCCTTGAACACTGCCAGGGATGGGGCAGCCACAGCTTCTCTGGGCACCCTGTGCCAGCGCCTCAGCACCCTCCCAGGGAAGAGCTTCTGCCTCAGAGCTCATCTCAGTCTCCCCTCTTCATTATTTGCTTCTAATGAGATTTGTTTTGTGTCAGGCAACTGCTTTTCCTTCTGAAGTCAAAGATTTGACAAAGAGGATCCGTACAGTGCTTATGGCTACTGCTCAGATGAAAGAACATGAAAAGGATCCAGAAATGCTGATAGATCTACAGTACAGTTTAGCCAAATCTTACGCGAGCACTCCAGAGCTCCGGAAGACATGGCTGGACAGTATGGCAAAGATCCATGTGAAAAACGGAGACTTCTCAGAGGTAATTCTGGAATTAAAGCCACAGTTTTACACAAGACAGATACACAGATGACATGTTAGTTTTCCCTTTGTCCTTTGCAGGCAGCCATGTGTTACGTTCATGTCGCAGCCCTCGTTGCAGAGTTTCTGCACAGAAAAAGTAAGTGTATGGTGGTTGGGAGGTTTGATGAGGCTTGGGGGATCAGAATCTAGTTAAAGACAAGTTTCTCCTTAGTTGGTAAATGATTATTTCAGAAACAAACTAACCACTGTGTAAAGCTAGAAAAGGATGAGTATTTTTAAAGAGAGAATCCAGTTGTTTGTACACAGGCATTTACTAGGCTGGCCAGTACTGCTTAGACAGTCGTGCTGGCATGTTGCTGATTGAAATACAAACTGACACATCATGTCTTGGTTTAAATGTTGTTGTATTTTATATTAGGAAATGTGCTCAAAGTGGAAGCCCACTTTAAAAACTTGCTGTCAATATGTCCATCAGGAGTATCTCCAGAAGCAGTATAGAAAACTAGAATAAAGCAGTCAAAATTCAGCCAAAAAATACTACTATTTTTTGTAGCCTAACTATTCAAATATGTGAAGAATAATAAGGAAATAAGAGAGTGTTGTGGTTTGATGCAAAACAGGAAGGAAGGACAGGCTTGTGTGTTCTCAAGTAACACCACTTTGCAGGATTTCTGCTAAAAGTCCATTCCACAGTGGATATATTGACCCTATTTTTCATTTGCATGTAAGGGAGTAGTTATTGACATAGACACTTAACATTTCAGAAAGTTAAAGCTACATAAAAGCTCATTGATTACATGCACTGCCTTCGTTGGGAGGGCCTGAAGTGCTTTGCTCAGGTGTCTTGGAGCTCCTCCAGTCCTGTACTTCGTGTTGGCGAAGCGTGAAAACTCAGGACTCTGATACCCCTCTGCACACTTCGTGGGCTGCAGAAGGGGGAGTATTGTGGTAATTCTTTATTTGTACCCTGGAGGCTGCTTACCACAACCAGTGGTAAAGGAGAACTAAAAAAGAAGAGGAACAAATCCAAAGGAATAACAAGTGAATACTCTGTCACCGTCGCTCTTTACGTATATGTAGGCTGAAAAGGGTTCAGGAAAGGCTGAACTACTCAGAGTTTTGGGGTACATAACTGTGCTTTCTGCTGGGAGTGTACAGTCCTGTTCACTTCCCTCCCAGCTCTCCAGCGTCCCGCAATAGCTTTCTTCTTCGTGTGGATGAGGTTTTCAGTGCCATGGGTTAGTGGTGGCTTTGGCAGCACTGGGGCAATGGTTGGACTTGATGGTCTTAAAGGTCTTTTTCAACCTAGTTGATTCTAGGATTCTTGCATCTTATGTGCAAAGATATACCCATGTTCTTCTCTCCTGACTGTCAGTTGGTTGCAGCTGGTTAGGTTGGGGATTCCAGATCCAGGGAAACCTGTTGTGCTTGGCGTTAGTTGCCAGGAATGACTCCCGTGACAAACGGCTGGGCACGTTCTGTTGTGTTCAGTCTCATACATTCAGTAGTAAAATGAGAGTCAGGTCCCTTGCTATTTGTGGGACTTCACTGTCAGCCAAACTGCTTCCCAGCCATTAAAGCATGATGCATTGGAACTGTGTTATTCCACTAATCCATTTGCTTTTATCCACTACAGAACTATTCCCCAGTGGATGCGCTGCCTTCAGGAAAATCACTCCCAACATTGATGAAGAAGGTGCAATGAAAGAAGATGGTGGGATGATGGATGTACATTACAGTGAGGTGAGGTCCTGTATTCTATGATTATTTTAGACTTATGATTATTTGTGCAAGCTCTAACAAATTACAGTTGTGCACTGGCATCTGTAAGGAAAGCTGATTCCCAGCAATTTCTTAAGAGAAATCTGCACTAAGGGGTTTTCGTGTACAATGTGTGTAGGTAGCACTGGTGTAAGTTCTTGGTTTCTTTGAAAAGCTTTTTTAGCACTGAGACTGAAGAAGCTACACAAGAATCGTTGCCTGCTGTGTTATGCAGATGCTAATTCTGCCAGCACAGGGCAGCGTGGCACAGAATTTCCAAGGAGGGACAACACATAAGTCAGGTTTTGCTGAGTGAGAGGTTATAGAATCATAGATCATAGGATGGTTTGGGTTAGAAGGGACCTTAAAGCTCATCCAGTTCCAACCCCTGCCACGGACAGGGACACCTTCCACTAGAGCAGGTTGTTCCAAGCCCCTGTGTCCAACCTGGCCTTGAACACTGCCAGGGCTGGGGCAGCCACAGCTTCTCTGGGCACCCTGTGCCAGCGCCTCACCGGGAAGAACTTCTTCCTTATATCTAAGGATGAGCTTCTAACTGAAAGCTTCCCCTGTTTAAGTTTAGAGCCATTCCCCCTTGTCCTGTCACTACATTCCCTGATGAAGAGTCCCTCTCTGGCATTCTTGTAGCCCCCTTCAGACACTGGATGGCTGCTTTGAGGTCTCCACACAGCTTCTCTTCTCCAGGCTGAATAGCCCATCTCGTGTTCCCCTTGAGCTAGGGCTGTGCTGCAGGACACCACATTAGCAGAACAACCCAGAAACCACAGCAAGGCATTGAGGAAGTGGGTAGACTGTCCCGTGCGTGAGTCAGAAAGCCTCACAATGACTCCTGTACCATGCCTGTACCACTGCGCTGGGACGGCCACGTGGCTGAGCTGCCCAATTGCCCATTCACTGCACTAGGCTTGAGGATCCTTAGCATCACATCCCACTGCTGCTGCACACATGTTCCTGGACGTGTTTCTTAGATACCTGCTTCTGGCTTTCAGTGCTGCCATCTCCATACCCTCCCAGAGCTTTGGTATTCTCCTGGGGAGGAAGCTAAATAACCAAGACACACTTGCTGGCTCTTGTGCTAATGATAATAAAGAATGAAGGAAATTTTTAAAAGTAACTTCTCCTTTTTTCTTTTTTATCTTTTACTTCCCTTTGGAAAAGCCGGAACATGGGCTATAACTGTGGCTGCTTGTACCAGGACCTCTTAAAGAAACTGAAGATAAAATGGTTTTCTCTTCTAACTTGGACTGTTACTAACACCACCATTTGGCTCCTCTCCTAGGAAGTGCTGGTGGAGCTGCTGGAGCAATGTGTCGATGGCCTATGGAAAGCAGAGCGGTATGAAACCATTTCTGAAGTGTCCAAACTGATCATTCCTATTTATGAGAAGCGGCGTGAATTTGAGGTGGGTGTTTTGAACTAGTTTGCATATATGCAAACAGACCTGGTCTGGTCGAAGGTGTCCCTGCCCATGGCAGGGGGTTGGAACTAGATGATCTTAAGGTCCTTTCCAACCCAAACCACTCTATGATTCTATGATAGAAGGTAATTTTCTAGATACCTCAGAAAAAATACAAGAGGCTTTTGTATTTTTGAAGCTATGAGTCACTGAAATGATGTCAGTAAAGCCCACACTGCACTTCATTGCTGCTGGTCACTAAACACATGAGTGAAAGCAGTGGTCTGGAGGGTAATTGTTAAACACACACAAGACTCATATTTCGTGAAGAATTCCCACCTTCCTTCTCCTAAAACAAAGCTGTCATCATCCCCTGTGCTCATCAAAGCCAGACTCTTTTTGAGACTTTTGTAAAGGTTAAAAGCACACTGAAGTGTTCAAAAAAAGGACTAGATCTGCAGGTAATTCTGCGCAAACGGAGAGGAGGGAAGGAAGCTTTCCCATCCCTCCACTTGCTCCTTCCCAGTGCCTGCTGTGACCTGTGCTTTGGAGAGGCTGCTGTGCTCCTCTTTCCTTCCCTATCCCATGACTCCCTCCACACCAGGACAGCATCCAGCTGGACAGCTGAAGCTAGGAGAAGCCTTCATCTGGTTTTAATCAAAACCAGATTTCTGGTAAAATACTGCAGGCTGCTCTACCCGAGAAGGCTTGCTTAGGAGACACGCAAGGACAGCAGGTTTGGCCTTCTCCCTAAGGATAGCCATGTCATTGCAGCCTGCAGCTCCTCTCAGACCTGAAGCTGAGCATGTTCTTAAGACTGAGGTTTTTCAAAGAACACTGCAAGTGTTCCACCTCCTTAGAAATCCACGTTTGGATTCTCCAAAGGACCGTCATCAGATCTCTCAGAAGCTTCCAGTGTTGGCTAGAATGTTCTGCTTGCAAAATCCTGCTTTAATGATGTCAAAACTTGATTTCCAGAAACTAACCCAGCTGTACAGAACACTTCATGGAGCATATGCTAAGATATTGGAAGTCATGCATACAAGGAAGAGGCTTCTTGGAACCTTTTTTAGAGTGGCTTTTTATGGACAAGTAAGTACATACCCCACTCACCTTCACCTTCACATCCCCTAAAGCTGCTGCTCTGCCAGACCTGGAGCTGAGAAGTCTGTTGGCTCCTCTGGTGTGGGCACTGGCGCGTCTGTGTGTGTTTCCTTATTCCACTTTTGAGGTTTGTGTATCTCTCCAGGAGCACTTGATTTATTGTAGTTTATGATTCTGCTGGTGGGCTTCCCATAAAACAACTCAGTAGGCAGGAAATGGCTTAATGGGTTCATAAAACACTGGGGGCAGTGGTGGTGGTTGTTATTATAGTTATTATAAACTACACAAACACAATTTAGTGTGTATTGTATACACCAGTCACCGTATATAACCGCTGTATACAAACAGTAGTAATAACATTTTCTTCTACAGGCATCTTCTACAGACAATTGCTGCTTTTTTCTAGATAGTAGTAGAGTAAAAGGTTATTGGACAAGCTGGAGGCAAAGTATGTCAGTGTTGGTTATGTACTTGTAGAGAGAGTATTTTTTTTAACTGAGGTAGCTGGAAAAAATGGCCAAGATCTGGGGCTCAGAGTCCCACAAAGGAGCATGATCTTCTATCTGATGAAGTCTTCTGAACCTGAAAGTAGTTGTGGTTTTATTTTTCTCCTCCAGCTGTAGCAGTTAATCTAATAAAGTGCATTACCCCTCATCTCCCTTGTGTCTCTGAGCTGTCTGCTTCTGGACTTGTAACCATGGGGGAGATGCAGGACCCCTCTTTAGAAAATGCTGTGTAAATTATATTAGCTCTGCCTTTCCTCGTTCCTTCTTTTATAGGAGGTGATTAACACCCCTGAAACCATCTTTGAACACCACTGTCATTACACCACAGCATGTCAGAGCACTGACTTCTGCTGCAGCAAACATGCATTTTGTTTTACTCCTCATCTTATCTTCAACTTTGTGTATGTGAAAAGTGAATAAGGTTAGCAAGAGAGAAAGGGAAACAACTGCTAGCTTAGTTTTCTAGAAGAAATGTAGAAATAACTGGATCAGCCCCTAAAATCCAGCAATGGATTATCCTGACAACCAACACTCGATCCAGTTTTGCACTTGAAAGCTTTGCCGGCTTTATACGCCAGGTACATGCACATAGTTTTAACACTCTGTCACAACTTCCAATGGGAACAGCTTGCCAAAACATGAAGCTTTCATGCTGTTCTCATTACAGGAAGGACTGGTGATGCAGACACAACCTTTAATGCAGCTTTGTCTCTACAGCAAATACACGAAGTTCCACTTCCCTGAATACAAGAGGAATCAAAACAGAGGAAACCCATTTCTTTATTTACTGCTTGAAGTCCCTTTCAGCCTACACAAAATCCTTCTCTTCGGACTGTTGACATGGCTCTGCTATCGGGGCTTCCTCTACTTACATGTCTTTCTGCTCCTTCCCTATCCCTTATTTTTGTGGGTTTTCTCCTGCTGGCCTCTTTCCAACCTTCCAAAAAGTCAAGTCCTGGCCAAACCCAGCTTCCACGGTGTTTAAATTGCTCACTGGTCATCCTCTAGCCTTTGTGTTCAGCAATGACATGTTTGTGATGGCTGAGGAAATTCATGACTTTTTTTACACAAATTTGAAGGAACCTATTAAACAGGCCAAGCTTGTGCAGGCTGTAGCCTTCTGAACCTTCTTGACTTTCTGAAATGTCAGTGGAAACTTGCTTTCAAGGTAGGAAATCTGAAATAAAGTTTTCCAAGCAAAGAGACTCAGCTATTCCTCACTACCTCTTTGTGATTAATGCTAGACATTCTTTGAAGAAGAAGATGGGAAGGAATACATCTATAAGGAACCCAAGCTAACAGGCCTCTCGGAGATCTCCTTCAGGCTTCTTAAACTTTATGGAGAAAAATTTGGGTCAGAGACTGTAAAGATTATCCAGGATTCTAACAAGGTAAACTGCATGAACAAGCTGATGAAATGCTATTAGTGGTCGGGGCCATATTACATGGCAGGGAGTTGGAACTGGATGAGCTTTAAGGTCCCTTCCAAGCCAAACCATTCTATGAGCCTTCTTTTCCACCCTCCTACAAGCACCTTGCTTCCAATTGCCCTGTCATCCTCATGCTCCTGTGTGGATGTGTCGCATAGCTTGACAAGTTTTGGTGCTGATCTGGCACCTGGGAGGAAATAAATGAATTGGGAATTATGAATGGGAAATGGCAATCCATTTCTCACTTGAGCCCTGCTCTTGGGAGGCATTATGAGCCAGCACAGAGGAGCAGATGATTGGAAGTGGAGTTGTTGCTTTGACACTGCAAGTCTAAAAGAAAATCTTTTGGGGCCTTGCAGCACTATCTCCTTCCTCTTCCTGTGGAATACCCATTTATGCTTCCTGCAAGGGCTGTTCACACCCTTACGTTGCAACCATGGATGTGTCTGGGTTACAAAAGACAATGTTGTTGATCCCAAAGCTTGCTTTGGGCAAGCCTGCAGATTTGCATGCCACAGCACAGCACTGTACAAGTGTTGATTTATGGCCTGAAAGCAATATGGTCATACTACGACTGAGTAGCACAGGCATGTGCTGCATTGATGGACAAGGTGATAGGGCTACCTATTGCAGATGAGGTATTTCTTGTGCCCGTTCTCCTTGTCTCGTGTATCTGCGAGTGGATGGTCTAGGTATCACAGCTGACGTCAGAGGGAGTGTTTGGTGTGTGATTCAGTGCATGCAATGGAGCTGTTTGCAGCAGGGAATCAGTTTAAGTCACATCCCACATTAACCAATTGTAAGTCAAGTTACTAATCTTTGTTCTTCTAGTGAGTAACCCTCTTATTTCACAGGTCAACGTTAAAGACCTTGATCCCAAGTATGCCCATATTCAAGTGACTTATGTGAAGCCCTATTTTGAAGACAAAGAGATGTCTGAAAGAAAGACTGAATTTGAAAGAAACCATAACATCAATAGATTTGTATTTGAAACTCCTTACACTTTATCTGGAAAAAAGCATGGCTGTGTGGAAGAGCAGTGTAAAAAAAGGACCATTTTAACTAGTAAGTACAAATGTGAGTCTGTATTAGTGACTATTTTTAGACTATTTTAGCTCATGAAAATAGCCAAAAGAGTCACAAATTCTCTCAGCTACTTAATCAGAATCATGCTACAATATTCTGGTTGGGAGGGGAGTTTGCCTTATGTTTCTATGTGCAAATGTTTATAAAGTAATAAATCATGCTGGTAAATTACAGTCTTGTTCAGGATTTCGGACACACCACGTAAAACCCTGAGGGCAAGAACCTGCTTGTATATATTCTATGAAGAGTACTCCTCTATGCTGCCTGACTTTTCAATCTGTAATTCCTTTGCTGTTCCTGCCAGCTTTGAACTCCTTTCCGTATGTAAAGAAGAGAATCCCAGTCAATTATGAACACCAGGTTAATTTAAAACCAATCGATGTGGCTACTGATGAGATAAAAGACAAGACTGCAGAGCTGCAGAAGCTCTGCTCTGCAGGTGATGTTGACATGATCCAGCTGCAGCTCAAACTGCAAGGCTGTGTTTCTGTGCAGGTAAGGCTTGATGGCCATCCGAAATCACAGTTACAGCTGACTCAGAGAGTCATCTTCCCATGACACAGCACATTTACTATCCAGAACTCATTGACTACCTTGTTTGCAGCACCACGGCAAACACAAGCACAGCTTGTCCTGCCACACGCAGCGGTACATTAGTGGGGGGCTCGTGGTAATAAGCATTTTGTCATTAGTTGGCCATGGGTGAATGCTGAAGTACACTTAACTCTTGGAGACTGTACTGTCAGTATCAGTTACAAACAGCCTTTTTGTGAGCCTGGGTTCTCAAGCTGGATAAATGACCTTAAGGCTCAGACCAAACTGCTTTCCCGAATGGAACTAGAAGGAAAGTACGAGGAACCAGGCTGCATCTCTTTTTATCTCCATTTTTCTTTTGGTCTTAAAAAAACATAGGAAAACTAACACTCTGGTTACATTTGTAATGCAGAGCTGATGGCAGGCAAATAATATGCTAAGATTGGGTTTGTGGTGTTTTTTCTTGAAATTGTTATTCCCTTCACAACTGCCTTTAGCAGCTTGACAGAAGTTCTACCGCAAATGATTTTCGACTTCTCTGGTTCTAGGTTAATGCTGGTCCCTTGGCCTATGCCAGAGCTTTCCTAAGCGACAGCCAGTCCAGTAAATACCCTACTAAGAAGGTGAATGACTTAAAAGAAATGTTCAGGTAGGATTTCTGATGTAATAAAACCTGGCTGGAACATGGTACCTTCTTTGCTTGTAGTTCTGTCTCCAAAATCAGATGCTGAATGCTTAGATGTGCCTTATAAAGATCCTGGTGCTGGTGACTCCCATTTCACCGAGGTTCCTCCCAACCTAAACCAGTCTGTGATTCTCCCAAACGCTGGAGAAAAGGGGCAGGGGGAAATGAGATTTGCCATCTGTTTCATTATTCGCTTTGGTAGAAGACTGAGCTATTTTAATGCCTGAAGTTCATTCCTTTCCTCCTCAGGAAGTTTATACAAGCCTGTGGAGTTGCTCTGGAGCTCAACGAGCGACTCATTAAGGAGGATCAAGTGGAGTACCATGAGGGGCTAAAATCAAACTTCCGGGATATGGTCAAAGAGCTTTCTGACATCATCCACGAACAGGTACGTACTGCATGTGAGGAGCCCCCAGAGGTGGCTCTTGTGTGCTTGATAACTAACTCACACTGAAAACTGGTTGAAAAGTTGATCGCTCTTCATGTTATGTAGCTAAATACAAAAAGGCGAGTAACTGAACTTGAAAAGTAAATGATAGACTTGGTGGATTCCAAACACCAGTTTCTGCTGGTGGACAATCTCAGGCTGGTATTGGTACACCGTGTGCTTCAGGCTTCACTGCACATACCAGGAGTTTCCTGGTGCTGCAGCCATCTAAAGTCCGATGCCGTGTTTTGCCTCATGTTTTGTGCATCATAAGAATCCTGTGATAAGTTACAGGTTGAAATTCTCTGGCAAAATTTCCATTTTGAAGAGGTTCAGGCAGCTCAGAGGGGGCAGGAAACTGGATGTCCAGAAATTGGTCGCACAATACGCAAATACACAGTCACTCTAGAGCAGCTCCTCCACTCCACTTAGATCCTGTGTTGTAAGACCATCCTTCAGGTTATAGAGAGTCTTGCTACATGGCACAGATGCAGTGAGTGCTGTATTTAGCTGCATGTACTCCCTGTGCTCACAAAAAAAAAACCCAGAGTTCTCTTATTGCAAAGATATAATAAATTATTGCTTTACTGAGAATTGTTTCTTTCCTATACTGGACAGTTGTAACTAACAATGATCCAGTAGGACACAGAACAGTGTGTCTATGAATGCTACAGAAATTGCTTAATTCTTGTTTCTGATTTCTTTGTTATGCTGCCTTTGTGAAACAGCTCTGAAGACAAGGTTGGCTATCTCTTTTGCACACCTTTTTAAACACCTGGATTACAGTCATGAACTGGAGCCTTTTCTGAAGCTGTGATTTTCTTCTTTCCTCTAGATCTACCACGCAGATACGATGCATTCGCCGTGGATGCACGACTCCCTCCATGTCTTCTGTGCCATCAGCGGGACATCTGGGGATGGAAGTTACTGTTCACTCAGACCCACTGCTGAAATATAAACATATCAGTCCTATTTTACAGAGCTTTCTCAGGAATACGTGGAACTGTACAAAGGGTGTTTAAAGAAATCCATGATGAGCAAAGATTCGGTTCTTTTTTTTCCCCCGAAGTTGCCATGCTTTCAAACAGGGTGCTTGCTTCTTTTGCTGAGCAACATTGAAGTGCCTGGACACTGCACCACTGTGCTTCTTTTCTACTATGTTTTTTTAAAAGCTGAGTGTGTAACACGACGTGGAAAACCATCTGAATAGGTATTGAATTGCTGAAGTGTGAATGGGAATTAGAACGGTGCTGTGTAAAGTTGTACAATGGAATATAATAAAATGTAAAAGTACTTTGTAAATAGAAGGAGTATATAGAAATTAGCATTGTATCATATTTGCTGCTAAAAGCTTTGTTGGACAGGGAACATGAAGGAGAAAATGTAGTCACTAGTAAGAGACCTTCCTCTTCTAAAAGTGACTTGGGGTCCCGATGCCCCCTTTGCACTCAGACCCTGAGAGGAGTCTTGTCCTGGTCTGCAATACCTAAAACCCAAGTCAGAAATGATCGTTTTCATACATCCTCTGAGCAGATAATTCTAAAGAAACCTCCATGAGAGCTGGGCTTACTACAGTTCATTTCACCTCTGTTTTCTGAAAGAAAACAGGTTTTTGTCTGACATGTGGTTGAAGAAAATGGATTTTCTGAAATTCTCTTATTCCTTCTTCCCCTCCCTGAAGCGTTAATACATTATCTTTGTCTCTAGTGAGACACTTTCAGATGCGGGAAAAAGAAACCAGATCAGTCATTCTTTTATCCAGCAACATCTTGAACATCTGTGGTTTTCAGATCCTATCAATTGTAAATATGGTTCCAGTAGCTCATGTGGGGGTGGGGGGTTGTTTAAGGGTATGTAACAAAATGCCATAATAAAAGGACTCCAGCTGGCTATAGTGTCTCTAAAATAATAATCTTGTAATGTCTGTGACAAATAGCTTTTGACCACAATTCAAAATGTTCATTATGCATGATTCTAAATACCTAAAATGAATCATCTTCTGAGAAAAAAAAAGTTGTGATCTATAAATTCAGCCATAAGCAAAATACAGATGTGCCTCTGTAACAGCCAGACCACACTTCTGCTTGTATGTGCCAGGCAGGCTCTAAATTTAGCTTAGGAAAAGAGGAATTGAGACCAGAGTGTTTAAATACAGTTACTACCTTACTGGTGTTCATCTTTCACCAAATCATACTAAAAGGCAGATAGAGTTTTCCAGGTCACTGAAAGGCGATGCAGCTCTTTAGTAGTGGACACATTACATGATTTTCTGGAGCTAGTTAAACCCTAAACATCAGTACTAAAGGTGTATCTTGAATGCAGTCAGCAGTGGCGACATGTGGACATCCAAAAGCTCTTGTACTGCAGCTCTTTTAAATACTACACCTAATAGTTTTCCTGGAATTGAAGTGAAATTCTTAGCATGTTTCCTGATGCCTTTGATGTCTAAAATAACACTGTTGGCTGAATTGGCAGTTGCTGTTCCTTGGTTTTACTGGAATTCTGGTGAAATTCTTACTCCTGGTTTCAGATGTCTTTAATGGTCCAAGATGAATTTTTGTCTGAACATCTCAATTTATTGGTGGTGGTGGTGTTGTCCTGTCATTCCAGTTTCCTTTACTGGAAAGCTGCTTAAGTAATTCAGCCAAAAAAAGTATTTAGTACCAGGCCAAATAGAATATGTACAGTCAGTGCAGGTCAGAATACATGCTTCTATTGCAGTTTTGATGAACAACAGAAGTGATCATGCCCTAAGGATGTGCTTCTATCCTGCAGGTAAATAGTTCAACTGGATTTGTAACAGGAAAACATCATATTTGTCCTTTTGAGATGGGTTATAAGTCTGGGAACAAACCAGCTGTTTTTTCTTTGTATTGTCACCAATCTAGAAACAATAGGGACTGGTCAGAGGCTGTTTCACAGCTGTAGCTGGACATGGGTGCCAAGAAGGTGTTCACGTTTTCTCTACCTATCCTTTTCCTACATTATTGTCCCAGTTTATAGAAGTCCTCCAGATTTTTTCTTGTTTCTGGCTGAAACAGCTTAATTCACAGCTACATGTGGGGAGTGCTCTATAGATGTGCCTGGTTTATGTAGCTGGTGCTCCCACTGGGTACTTCCTATTTGCTACATTTTCTGTAGGAATATATATGTTTAATGTTCGTTAATACTTTTGTCTTACACCACCTAAAGCAGTACAGTTTTTGGTCTGTAAAAGTCAGTAGATGTATTTCAAATGACAACCTGTGCAGTCTTTCTATATACCTCTGGAGCTACACATACACCTTTTCTATGTAGACCTCTAATTACTTTTGCTGCAGACCTGCTGTATAACACATCAAGTCTTCAGAAGGGATATGCTGCCAATTTTGCATAACAGAAAAGATAGGATGAGGATTAAGAGCTCGTGGCTGCTCTCAGTATCAGGGCTGGTTTAGATAATGATACTAGAGCCAGATTGTTTGCAGATAGGACATATAAAGCAGCAGGGGGTCTGCCAGCACTTTATGTACAACAACATGCTTTTAGAGATCTATACACTTACTTACAAAGAGTAAGTGAAGTGTAAACATTCACTCTCTGCTTTGCTTTTCTTTCTGCAGACAGATTAGAAAGTAGTGTTTTAAGACAAGTAACTTCAGAGTTCTATTTCTTTCCCTCAAAAGAACCTGGAACACAGAAATTACCACAGCCAAGGATATACTTCTACATTACTCACTGTTCTCAATTTCTTCCGGTAACAGACATTTTCATGACATAGGCCAACAAATGGATGTGAGAATACCTGCAGTGTACAACGTGTTTATTTTGTTCCAGAAGCCTTTTTAACGTATGCCATGTGGCACTTTTTGATATTGAATTAGAGTTTGCATTAAAGTAACACCTTTTGACTCAAAGTAGATAAAATCAGTTTGTTTTGCCTTCCTGTAGGAACAGAGTCCTGTGGATTCACAGAAGGCTTCAGGGTAGCCCCACCATTTGATGTGCCATAGTCCAAAAGAACTGGAGGGAAACGTAAGAGCTGGAAGTAATGGGCTCAAAAATAGAAATGAAAAAGCCCATCTTACTCAGTGTAGCCACTGGAGCAGAATAGCCTGTGTTCATTTGATGTTCACTGACCTGAGTTCTGATTAAACACAGGGTTCTTAGTGGGTTGAGGAATACTGTGTACAGCTCATGAGTGTGCAACCACAGACTGTATTACTTAACCTTCAAATAATATGCTCATGTCAAGTGACAGTGAACCAGTTGTGACATACACATAGTATTTATTCTGGATGTCATTTACTCTCTTTTCATGTAAATGCAACAGCTGCTACTACATATTTGTAACAGAAGTGTTTTTATCATGCGTGTTGTATGTATGTGTGTTTAACCTTCTCCCTGTGAGGACAGGGTAGATCCCATTCACCTCGGTTGTTAACCCATGTAACACCAAGTAACACATGGTGCTGCTCCAGAGCTTTCCAAGACCAGCAAACTTATGTTGCTCTAGTACTGGTGTAAGATTCATGGGACTAAAACCTAGACAAATGAGCTCTCGCATGTGCTGCCTTTAAAGAAGATTACTGCAATAAATCTTAAATGCGTAAGTGCACCAAATGAAATTGTCAACACTAAGTTTTTCAGTGGCAATTAGAAGATGTTGATTCGGAAATCCTGAAGAGCACAAATGCCACACATCCAGCTTGGATCATCCCAAACCCATGATCCATCGGAAAATCTGAGACATAGAAACAGACATGTAGGGACAGGACAAGGGGAATGGCTTTAACCTGCTAGAGGGGAGATTGAGATGAGCTCTGAGGCAGAAGCTCTTCCCTGGGAGGGTGCTGAGGCGCTGGCACAGGGTGCCCAGAGAAGCTGTGGCTGCCCCATCCCTGGCAGTGTTCAAGGCCAGCTTGGACACAGGGGCTTGGAGCAACCTGCTCTAGTGGAAGGTTTCCCTGCCAGTGGCAGGGAGCTGGAACTTTGTTGCTGACAAAGATGTTGAACAGGATCAGTCCCAGCACCGACCCTGAGGAACACCACTCATCACTGATCTCCACTTGGACATCGAGCCATTGATGGTAACTCTTTGAGAGCAACCATCCAGTCAATTCCTCATCCACTGAGTGGTCCATCCATCCAATCCATGTCTCTCCAATTCAGAGACAAGGATGTCATGCGGGATGGTGTCAAATGCCTTTGGTTGTGTGGGTGGAAACGGCAGGAACGCAGAGCCAAGGGCAGATCAGCAGCACGATCGTAAATCAGTTTACATCAAACATGAAGCCATATCCCAAGCACTTCTTCAACAGATCATTCCAAAGATACCTCAGGTGTGTCTGTGTGAGTTCCAGTCACTACAGCGCAGGCGTATTGTCCAACAGGAGCAGGAGCGAGCAGATTTGTAACAGCAAGATGCAGGACAGGACTCGGTGAGATTGGGAAAGTCTTGGGTAGGTGGAAGAGATCAGAGGCTTTGGCAGGAGCTCTGACTGCCCTGTGCCAGGACTGGACTGTGACAGGGATAAAGGTTTCACCAGCAACCAGCAGCCAAAAGCATTGGAACCATTGGATGTGTGCTTGGAGAAGGAAGGAAAGAAAACGTGAGTGAGGAAACTGAAAGCAAAAGAGAGGTGGGTGACTCGGGTCAGCTTTACCAGTGTCCTCACTCGCCAGGCAGAGCCCCTGGAACTTGAAGCCACAGTTCTTTGTTTGGTTATAATAAACTAGGAAATTGTTAAATCCTCTTCTTTTTCCAGGAGTATAAAAACTGGAAGAAAAGCAAAAAGAACCAGCTTCACACTGGGTATCCCCTGCCCGGTCACAGAGATCCGCTTCCCTTTTTCTGAAATGAGTGAACAGCAGACGAGCTCTTGCAAAATT